ATTACAAAAACAAGATTTTCTCAAAACGGTTTCCCATTTTTTCTTTTAACTTTTTGTTGGAATAACGCTAATTATACTCTATGATATGACAAAAACGGCGTATTGCTCTATTCTTCTCTTTAAAAAAATATCACAAAAAGGGATTTTTGTTGACAAGTATCTCACGTCGATAATATTTTTATTAGCAGCGATTTGTTCACATTATTATATTTATGAGTACACGTGCTTGATAAATAGTGTCAAAGTTTCTCGAAAACAACAATTTTCGGTGAAAATGAGCTCATATTTCCGCATTTTCACAAATGCTCACCATTTTCTCAAAAACGGCTCCAAATTCCAACTTTTCGTATAGATAGTACTAATAACAGTTTATGATGACATAAAATTAATTTTGCTGTATTCTTTTATTTTTTAAATTACAAAAGTGTGTTTTTTTTCAAAAATTACTCATGCAAATAATATGCAAATTTCCAGCAATGTTGTATACATTATTGTATTTATGACTGGAAGTGCTTTAAATTACTTCAGTTAAGTTTTCCAAAGTTATAGTAGTAGTAGTAGCAGTAGATCAATAGTTATCTGTGAAAAAGAATTTTAATTTTCGCAATTACAGTAACGCTAAAATAGCATTTTCTTACAAACGCTTCGATCTAAATTTTTCAATGCAAAATTGCCATTTTTAAACCGATCTCCCTTCTGATTCTATTGTACTTTAAGAGAGAAGGTCAGATGACTCGAGTTACTCTTCAACGTCAAAATCCGACTTTCGTGACGAGAAAGAGAAACGTCCACGGTTTTAATTAGGTATAATTGAATCAAATTAATTCATCCTAATTAGGAGTGGGCAATTCTTTTAATGTATATTAAGAAATCATATTTCGAAAAAAATAGTTGGATGTATTTTTTTTAGTTACTTAATGTCAGACTAACTATGCTTAATTGCTTTTGACTTTGTTGAAAACTTTTCAATAACACTATTAAAATTTTTCTATGTCACAATGACATACAACAGTATATAAATTCCCACACAGTGTGGTAAATTATACCCTTTTACACTGTGTAGTAAAGAAATGTTCATGTGAACTGACGCTTGTCATAACAAAAAGACGGGAAATACATATAAACATACACTCTTGAAAATGTAAGCTCTAAAAATGTTATTTTTATAATATTGTTCAGTAAGATTTATTCTTGTGAACTTCCCAAATCAATGTTTAAAATTGGCAGTTTCTATATAATCATCTTCTAGCGAATGTTGGCTTTATAATCAAAATTGGATTCACGAGCCAAGAATTTGTCATCAAAACAAGACGAAAGAAAATCATTGACTCTGTTTGCAATCTCATAATAAAAAAAACAACACACAAATTATTCTAAACAGACGGGTTATTTTACTCTTACACCAATAACAAGTAAAAACGATTTTACAACTGTTAAAAATTTTGTAAAGACATCTGTATTTCGTTTTTACATTGCAAAATTTACCTTCAAAAAACTTAATAAATTCAAATTATTTAGGTGTCTTAATACAATTGGAATCCATCTATTAATTTTCGAAGAATAAAACTGTTTCTATGCATATTCTTTTGGCAGCGCGAGAATCGGTTTCAATGAAAATCGGAGAGCGACTCACAATGTTTGTCCCTCGAGACACCGATGTCCTCTGCAGATGCCGAGCAGCTTCCGCAGTTCACGGTCGCGACTTCTGCACGAGGAGAACGTAGGGCGAAGCAGGCAGATCTTTTGCTTGTCTGAGATCACATTGGCACAGATTGCGTTGAAAACATTTCCAGTCTTCTTATTCTCGCCTTGAATTCTTCACTCCTCTCGGTGCTGACCCGCCAAGAAATGTCGCTTCCTCTCTTATTCCGTCACCGCATACGCCTTACCAGGTGACGAACCGATAAGACTCGAATACAGTTATAATCCAATGTAGCGAAGTATAATGAAATAGAAGAGTGAGAATAACTCTTAAAAAATAAAAGTCTGAAATAAAAGGAAACTTTCTTTCTTTAGGTGCTATCCTATTTCATTCTTAATGCTTTTTAGGAAATAACTGAGATTTCAGTGGGCGTAATATATTAGTTCCATCGATATTCAGCATAGCGATGCTGTAAATAAAGTACAACTTCTGTTCTCTACAGTTCGAGATCCACAGGAGATTAGATTCTCTACATGGATGTACAGTCTATGCAGATTATTCGAATTGTTGAAAAGTATTACACTCTTATTAAGACATGACTGAATTTATTTGTCACGACCGAATCGTTTGCATCATGCCGTCGGTCTCGCGCGCGATGTGCCGTCATTTAATCGTCCATAATTGTCCGAAAGAAGTTAGTGTGTATCCAGTTTTTCGCATTGCCAAATTCTTGTTGAACGATCGTACTAAATTTTAATTGGCCGCAGTACTTATGCTTAGGCGAGCGCTTCACAAATCTATTCACTTCTAGTGCGTTTATCCTAACAATAGCATTTCTGGTAAACTTCTTTGGCAACTTCATTCTTTCTAGCGGAAGAAGGATGCAACTTTTCCAATTAATATTTCATAATACAACTCGGCTTTAGTGGTTACAATATATGTTACGCGTTACTCTTTTTAGTTAGTAATATTTCGGTTCTTCTATTAGGAAACCAAAACACGGAGAAAATGTAAAAAATGCACCTTGGGCAACGATCGATGGCAGCCAGCAAGAATGCGTCGCCAGTCCGAATAAGTAGCCCTTCAAGCGTGTGCGACGACATATGTCGTCCTGAGAAACAGCCCCTCCTCAGCGTGTGCGACGACGACGGTTTTCTAATGGAATTTCCAAAGAAATGGACTAAGTTCAGGCTTCATCGCTAGATTGGACGACAACACACTACTTTAGCTCTATGCTGGTGTACTGGCAACTCATCGTCAGTTATAATTCATAGGATACATTGTAAAGGCTTCACAGAAAATCGGCAAAGTATCCTGTAAGTAAGCCTGTAAAATGCGTAGTGAATTCATTGGTTAGGTCAAAGTCAATTACTACCGCAGAAAAAAAATCATTAAATTATTTTTTTTAATTAAAAGAATTGTATCGTTTCTAGATAATGGGTTAAATATTATAAATCGGTAGACGTAAGACGAATTTTTAGCATTGCTTACAAATTTACCAAAAGTTTGGATTTCTTGACTTTAACCACACCCATAAACTATAAACTACCCATTTAGTACTAATTTATCATTAAATTTGAATACTGAAGAAGGCTTCTGCAATTTACTTCCATACATCTACTCTAAGTTACGTTTTCTTGATCTTAGAACACCAATGCGTTGTAATTTTAAAGGCTGCCATGAAAGCAATGGGATTTTGAATCCTGTATTCAATGAATGTGGGCCTTGCGTACAACATTAGGCGGATCTTAACATATATAGTTTGCTAGTGAATCATTTCAGTATGTCAAGGTGTAGGTTATGTCAATCAAGTTGGCACATACTTTTGTGAAGAAATTATTGTATGATTTTACAATATTACGAAATAGTAAATACCATGGTTAACAAAATGAATTAGGGAAGAAAAATATTTGTTTTTTCTCACATTCATTCGTATCTTGTTCTTTTTGTTCTATAATACATCACATATTTAAATTCACATATGTACATAATTTGTTTTAAAAAATTTACATAAGAATACTGGTATTAATATGTACATATGTAGGATCTCGATGCAAATTTTAATACTAATTTCATTTATTTTCAAATGTTATATATACAAGAAATGAAAATTTACAAAAGTCCCAAATGATGTAACATGAAGAGCACAGAACAGCTGATGACTATTTCACTAGCAGCACACTCTGTTGCCACAATTTGGATCTTCTTCCATTACGTTTTCGACCTAACCGTGCAAAAGCTCTTTCTCGATTTTACCTGTTATTGATATCAATAGTGCCGGCGATTGCTTTAACATAAGGCACTATGGAATATAAAGCACTATCGATCTTTTGCAGATGCGCAGTTTAAGTTTTGCACCATCTTAGTGCAACTGCACATTCGCAGAATATCGGAAGTGCTTTAACGTTCGTGGTGGTACAACGCAGTATGTACGGAGCGAATTGAGAGAAGTGCGATATTGAAATTAAAGCGTGGATTTGCGAAGTTTCGATTTTGAGCGGATTGTTAGAATTGTTGCTTTAGTTCTGTTTGGGTCAATTGAAATGTAATTGTTCTTTCTATTATCTCCCCAAAAAATTAGTTTTGATTTATTTCGCATTTGAGTTTGTTTGCTTCGGTTTATTTTTCTGTGATTTTTTTTTAATACAACATACATTTTAGTTGTATGTTGCCGTAATTTTGTTTTGTGTTATCTTTCCGTATTAGTTTTTTCATTCTTAATTTCATTATAATTTTGTTTTTTGATTTAATATCTTTCGTCTAATTATTATCCTTAGGTTATTCAAAATTTTAGAATCCATGGAACGAAGAAGATATGATGAATAGGCAAGAGAAACGAGGGAAAGGCGAAAGAATGAAAACAAAAGAAAAATAATACGGGATAACAACGAAACTACAGAAACATATCCTCTCCAAACATAAGAGTAGAAATATATCCTCTATGGATGTATCCTCTATGGAACCAAAGGCAGATTGCAATCAAAGAGTGCGCAGAGCAACATGGCTAAATGCGTTTGTTTCGGGAACTCTTTCTTGTAGTTCTCTTTTTTGCTGCTACAGGTTCATAGCGCTATTTGTCTTCCCGTTGACGGTCATTGTGAAGCACACGTATCTCGCGTTCCGGCTCTCGTCCTCGTGTCCAGATATATACTCTCTGTCGTGAGTATTGTGCACGTTAAGTTGGTACTGTGTACAGTGTAGAATGAGAAGCTGTGTTGTTTGTGATGTTGATGTGTTGTTGATATTTTTAGTAGTCCTTAATATTAAAATATAATTCTTGTAATTTGCTTGAGTGTACAGAGTGAGAAATTAGCTGGGTGTGAACAATTTGTGATCAAGTACTTTTATTGAAAACACAATGATTTCAACGATGGATCTGAAGAGAAAAGCCGATGAACTTGCTCTCGTGCAAATAAAACGTTCCAGAAATGAAATTGTTGCTACAAAGCCTCCCGGCGTTTCATGCGATGTACAACGAACATCGAGTCTCTTAGCTCCAATAATGTTGCTAGAAGGACACCAAGGAGAGATATTTTCAGTTGAATTTCATCCTGATGGACAGTATCTTGCTTCCTCCGGGTTTGATAGACAGATATTTATTTGGAAAGTTTATGGAGAATGTGAAAATGTTTCTGTTATGTCAGGTCACACAGGTGCCATAATGGAACTTCATTTTTCAACTGATGGATTCACCCTCTATACGGCTAGCACCGATTTCACGTTGGGTCTTTGGGATATCGAAACTGGTGTTCGTACCAAGAAATTGAAAGGTCACACAACATTTGTGAATTCGTGTCATCCAGCTCGACGTGGACCTCAGTTAGTATGCAGTGGTTCAGATGATTGCACAATCAAGGTATGGGATCCTCGTAAAAAGGGCCAGACAACAACTCTAAATAATACTTATCAAGTGACATCAGTAACATTCAGTGACACTGCAGAACAGATTTTGTCAGGAGGTATAGACAATGACATAAAAGTGTGGGATTTACGGAAGAATGCAGTGTTGTACAGATTAAAGGGTCATGCAGATACTGTGACTGGTGTTAGTCTGTCTCCTGATGGTTCGTATGTCCTTTCTAATGCAATGGACAATACTGTTAGAATATGGGATGTCCGTCCATTTGCACCCCAAGAACGGTGTGTGAAGATCCTCACAGGGCACCAACATAATTTTGAGAAGAATTTACTTCGTTGTTCATGGTCACCCGATGGTTCCAAAGTTTCAGCAGGCTCTGCAGACCGATATGTATATATATGGGATACTACATCTCGTCGAATTATATACAAGTTGCCAGGTCATAACGGCAGTGTAAATGACATTGATTTTCATCCTAAAGAACCAATTATTATGTCTGGTTCCAGTGACAAGCAAATATACATGGGTGAAATAGAATGATTTCTTTTTTCTCCTTTTTTTAAATGTGGTATGCTGTGTGTATTATGAATCAGATTTATCAGAGTAAATCATTCCAAATAAAAGATTTTAGTTAAAAATCTTTCTAAATTTTATTTCTTACACCTATATATATATGAGAATGTCATTGAAACATTGTTATTCAGATCATATTAGATTTTAGTCTGCCAGAATTTTATTACTTACGTATACTTTTTATTTGTAAGAGTGATTTTCCCAAATAAGAATAAGTATTTTTGTTTCATGGCATATGTAAGAATGTCTATAAAGTATATTCTCTCTCAGAAATGCATCAAATTTCCTCTTGTTTTAAATTCTTATCAATTGTAGTTTGTCACCCTCCATATACATCAAGATTTTTAACTCTTGTTTTTCAAAATTTTGTGTATTATACAAAATTGATTTCTTGCGTTCTGGACTCCCTATCCTCCGTCCTTTACCATACATAGTTAGATTATTAGCAATAAGAATTGTTGACTTCTGGTTACAAGATATCTTGCCAATGTAATATGTGATATGAACTTTCTGCACATACTGCATGTTCTCGTGAACTATTTTCATCAAGGAATAAGCCACACATTTGATTTAATAGAACCTCCCCCTTGTCTTTCATCAGCAAAATGAATATTTGTGGATTTTATCACACTATAACTGCAGTTACTGTTCCTACATAACATACCAGATTATTTATAATTTAGCCAGCTACTGAAATATTGCCTAGACTAACCTAATATTTACCAAAAGAGTTGTTCTATATTTTCATTGATATAATTATTTAGTGACCAACCTTGTGAACAAAAATTGATATAAAATAAATATATCCAACAAATGTATGCTTTTTTGGTAATGGTAAAATGTGTGCTTATCAAAAACTGATTGGTTTATCATTCACTTTTTAGTAATACTTTATAAATTTTGGATAATGATGTTACCAGAGTATTATTTTGTAATGTTAATAATCGTTTTCAGTTATTAACATTAGTTGTACAGTATTATTAATCATGAATGTTTAATATAAAAAATTACTGTATTCAGATACAATATCTCAAATACAAGGAATTGACAAATAGTACTCGTGAATAGACCAACCAAATGAAACATGAAAACAGTCCTGTTTTAATCTGTTTGTCTTTTTATTTCACTACTTTTCGTGAGACAGTGCAGTTTTCACAGAGGGTATTCCTCTGCAAAAGGAAGTTACTTTCAGGAAAAAGCGATTCAAAATTTCAAAAAATATATCAGTCAGATTAATTGAGGATTATATCCAGAACTCTGCCGAAATATTTAGATTTCTGTATGGTGGTTTTGTACATTCATTACTGTACTTAGGCAAAGAAACGATTAAAGAGGCCACAGAATAACGAGTTCACTCCTTTGCCCAGACTTCACAACACAACGAAATATTATGTATAAACTGTAATGCATTGGAGTTCCAGAAATATAACACAGTGAAGTTCTATTTGTGAATGTACTACAGAATTTCTGATTACTCATTCTTCTCATCAATAACTTCAGCTTTATTATCAGAAACAGCACTGTCAGATGACAAGATAAGAAGTGCGATATTATGGCAAAATCACGGAAGTACTAGTGAATCTATGCTTTCTATCATGAATAGGCTGTGGCAGAACTGTCTTTGTGACTAAACTTGAAAAGCAAATAACCTAGTATTGAACATCCTCTCTTCTTTTTGTTGACTGCAATATGCACAAAGTGCATAAATGCATTGTTTTACTTTTCTTTCTTTCTTTTTAGTTGATAATCTTGTTTTCCCTTCTTTATTGATTATTCTGTGAGTTTTCAAAATCGTGCTTTCTTTTTCAACTTGGCTAAAGTTTTGTAGAACTTCATCAATATTTGATGATTCTTGTGAGCCTTCAAAATGACCAAAGAAACTTATATCAACCTTGAAAAGTAAATTAACATTATTTACATTCCAAACATTCAAGTGAACATGTATTATTTAATGCATTTCTGTGTATTCAATTTCTTAATAAATTCACACATGGGTAAGTAAATTTTTAGAAAAACAACATCAGCTTATTGAAACCAGAAATGGTAAGTTGGTATGCAATTTCTGATGTGAGATGTTAAAGCTTTAAAGTCAATTAAAATTGTTGCATTGCACTTACCTCTGATCAACTCTCTTCACCAATAGTTTTATTACATTATTATTATTATTACGTTAAAGATTTAACATAAAAGCTCAGGAGAAACAAAGTTTTATATATTATACACTTATTTTTTAACATTGCACACAATCTTTGGAGAGATGATGTAACTCTATATATTCAAGTGAAATTTTTATTTTCCTCACTTCTCGTTAAAAAGTGGGATAGCACATTTTGCCTGCAGCCCTTCACATACAAAATAATTATTATTACAACCGTCTTTCAAATATTGTTGAAAATTTAATAATTCAATTATAAAATAATGACAGAATTCATAGTGGCATAAAAGAAATGCATCAGTACATAAATATATATCGCAGCCCTACCAGGAATTTTAAAATCTTGAAGTTATGCTAATAAAACTTAAAAAATGCACAGAGTAAAATTATTCTCTACGGTGACTTCAATGTAAATTGCCACACAGTCCAGTAATGTTACTCTATTTAAAGGCCTACTAAAAACATATAACTTACAAACAATCATAAATATACCTACCCGATTAGATCAAATAATAATAGATGGAAATAACCATTGAATCTCGAATGTTGAGAGTCGCTGTGAATTTGACTTCTGTATATGGATGTCTTCTAAACATCCGTATTTGTTACTAACAGAACAAACACTATTTACAACGAAAGATTATGTATATAATTGACAATGCCCACAGGTTCGACTATCTAATTCCAGGAAATATTGCAAATATGTGCAACAAATAAAAGCAGACTTTGATAATTGTCCTGCAACTTCCTTATTGACATTAAGAAGAAAAATATCTTCAAATATGAATATTTCATTTTTGGGAAGTGAATGGAAGGAAAAGGAAAAAACACGTCTAGACATGTTGCAGTTATATTTATTACAATAAGGTATTTTATGACACTGTACTTTTGTCAGTGTCGTAGTTTGTTAGACACTTCTGTAGGTTCGGAATATAACTATTACTTTCTAAGTCATAAAACAATTACACTGATATTTCAAGGAGAAATTATCTTAGCAGAGAAATGTAACATTGAAATTTGATACAGTGACTATTAGTAAAATGTGTAAAACCCTAGGACAAATTAAACAAAGTTATAAAAATGTATGTTCACAAACACATACAGAATAATACAAAAATAGAACTTTGACATTTTTTGTACTATTTCAATTCATTCCTGAATTGATTGAACTGACTCGTAGATGTTCAGCATTCCTTCTCAACTCGCTGAACTACTCATATGTTACTTTTTCTTCCTGTGAAAGTTTTCTGCAGTTGGCACATCTGAAGGAAATAACAAAGCAGCTTATATTGACATGTGATAACATATTTTTACTTGTTTACACAGCTGTGAGTGATTTGTAAGCGATTCCTCATTTGAATTGATCCTAAATTTCAAAGGTCTCAAAACGTATTCTCATCTCTGGCAATTACAAAACTAGAACAGAGAAAATAATATTAGGGAAGATGTATTAGCATGAAGAAACCACAGAATGTAGGTCTACCATTAGTTTTTGTTCTTACCAATTAGTGCAGTATCTCTTAATAGACACTCAAAGAATTCTCAAATAAACTGGCAAGATCTTCCTCGGATTGTTCTCTAGGTGCCAATTTTGTGATGCGATGCTGAAAGAAAAGCAATTCCTTTGGTTACAGCAAATAAAAAAAAACTGTTTTGTTTATGAAAGTAGGCAAAACTTGGGAAATAGCAGTGGCGGCTCGTAAAGAAATGATTAGGGTAGGTAAAATAGATTTCTGAACAGCAGCAGATTCTGGGATCACATGGTACATGGGCTGTTACAAAACGCTTAAAATAGAAAGATGGCTTGGGCCGCGATGATTGAATGTTCATGATACATTTCCAGCTGAATATTACTTACACCATATTAAAAATGTAAAAGTCATTTAACTTTTTAAAATTATTATGAAACGTATTATACTAGTACATATTCATTAGAGTAGGCAGTGCCTACCTTGTCTAACCCAAGGAGCCACTATTGGGAAATAGAAGTAAGCATGACAACATATCTGTACAATTGCTAACCTAATAATCTTTAAAAATACTTACCTGGGGTAAAGTTCCTTGCACCAAACCAGGAATATCATCCTTTGTGTACCCTAAAGCACCAAGTCCATTATCCACCTTCATGACTTGCATGTAACGACGAACAGTGTCAGAAAGTATCTTTCCTGAAGAAGGACAATAACAATTACTCAATATTGGAAATATTTGATGATAACCACTTATTTGAGATGTTCTCACAAAATATTTAAAATTTTGATCAATAAAATCCCAAATTTTTCTATGAAATACTTGGAACTTTTTCCATTTTCTTTTAACATATTTCCTGTTTTATTACTATGTTTGATTAATTCATTTTCTTTTTTTTAAGCATGTTGTACTGAAACATCAGAAAAAAATCAATACTTAATGTAAACATGTTATTCTAGTCAAAATATATAATATTTGACGTTTTCCATTATTGGAGTAAATATGAAGAATATAATGAGCTTGTAGGTAAAGACTTATCAGAGAGAAATATTTAAAGAAATTATATTCTGGTGCAGAGTCTTGATGAAACACTATCATTGGCTAACATTCCTCTATTTTCTTGCATCTTGTTATTATTATATGCATCCAACTGGTGCCCATCATTTGGATTGCTTGGACATTTTTTCACCTGAGCTTTTCATGGATTTTTCCTATTTTCCCATTGTTAAATTTAACAATCTGAGGTTCTGGGGTCGGCCCAAACGTGTTCACTACTGTTTAATTTTAAAATAAAAAATAAGAGTTTTATCTCTGACAAGTGATCTGTAACCATTACAATATTTGAAATTTCCAAGTTGAGTATATTAACACAAATAACTAAAAGGGACACTTTAAAAGGGATGTCACCCTCTCTCCAACTGCAATTCATTGCAAATAATCTAAGTCACATCAAAGCACACAATTGTTTCCTTTAATAAGGATATAGTCTCAGATTTAATGAATATTTTCTTCTAAGGGTGACAAGCATTTTCTGTGTATTTTCCCCTATGCATTTTTCTGCACTTTGGTTTCTTTGTATCTTTTAGTTTCCCTGATTTTGGAGAAATCTGTCATGTTGACATTGTGGATAACCAACCATAGACAAATATCAAATTCCAGAATTTTTCTTTTAATATAATGGTGCCAAAACACCTACCTGCATCAGCACGCTTAGCATTGCTGACATCAGTTCCCAGCATTTCTGCTGCCTCCAAGTGTCTCTCAGGACATGCAGGGCCAGTAAATGAGAAAACTGCAGGGGCACCCATTACTACAGAGAGTCCATGAGGGATAATGGGATGGTCTTTACTGCAAAATAAAAGTTTTCTTTGTAGTACAATGTTTAATTTGTTCTAAAAAGATAAAAATAATAAAAAATCATACATTTCTTACCTATAGCCTTCAGGTTGGTAACTTTTCACATTTCCCGATATGGGATATGACATACCATGGCACAAATGAACACCAGCATTTCCAAATCCTACCCCCGCCATTGTTGATGCCAAGTGCATACTAGACCGGGCCTCGACATCATCACTATTGTAAACAGCTCTGAAGGAAAACAAAATTCAATCTTAAAGCTTAAAGGATATTTAACTTTTTTAAATGCGTTGTTCATCGACAAAAAGTAATTGATGAATGAATTATAATAAATGTTATATATAAATATCCTCTCAAAGTATACCTCTCAAAATATTTTCTCATAACTACAAGAGCATATTTTGCCCAGACATCTGAAATAGGATTCTGTCCTTGATATGCAGGTCGCAGCAAGGGATTTGGAGGGCATGGTGAACGTTGATCATAGGGAATAGCAGTAAAAGATTCCAAAGCGTGGCATAGGACATCAAATCTGTAAAATTTATATGCAATTAGATTCAGAAGATTGCTTTGAGTTGACGAAATTAAAAATACTAATAAGAAATGCATTAATTTCATCTCTCTCCATTGTTCTCTTTCTGAAGACGTTTAGGTACAATTGAAAGGTTTAATTTTTTGCTATTGAAAGGTTAAATTTCATGATCAGTTTCAAGTACTTGAAACACAGTTATGTAAATGCATGAACTCATAAATTACCTTAGTAATATCTTAAAAATTCATTATTTTGCAGAGTATCACCCCAGGTCTACAAATTTCTACAAGTCTATTCATGAAAATTTAGCAGATGAAATTTACATTGCATCAAAATAATACATTACTTTACATTGTTTTCAATGTCAGTACTTCTGAAGAAGAAAAATATTTACCCACTAAATGCACAAACACGTTCTGGAAGAGACAAAGTGTGCAGTGGATCCACAATGCCCAAAGTGGGACGGATTGCACGATTGGCAATACCAGTTTTGGCTTTCAGGGGTTCATAATCAAATATACTAACACCTGTTGTCTCACTGCCAGTACCAGACGTAGTAGGTACTGCAAAACACAAGAAAATAAAGTGCTTAGACATTTCTTTAAAAAGACTTGTAAATTACAATTCTAAACTAGTCAAGGCAAGTACATATAATATTTCAATATTCCATGTCATTATCCAGAATTAAGGCAAACTTTTCATAAAAGGTGATATAAACAATGAACCACAAAGGGCAAGCCTTCTGGAATTGCAGGATTGTTTAACGTCGTAAGAAGCAAGTAATAAAATACATTTATATATTTTTTTTAAGGACAAAAGCATAGAGCAATATGGCGTTTATGCGAACTCAGAGTACACTTAGTACTATCCCTACTACAAACTAAGAGTAAAAATTTGTAACCGCTTTTGAGAACGTTTTCTTTCTGTAATTTTTTTTAAAATTGCAAATACTGCATGTAGTATTGCGCAAAAACTACTATAAGTTTTTTTTTTTTTGTTAAATATACATATTCTTAATTAAAGAACTATTTATGAAAACAAATTTAATTTGAAGTAAAAAAAACCATCTTCAATTTTGTAGTTGTAGGAAGACGCTTCAAATATCCATACATTGAAATGTTCGAAAAATCAGAGGTAAGAGTGAAAATCAGACCCAAGCCCCTTTTATAAGTGTATGTTACTCTATTCTTATGAGACATTTAAAGAAAAAAAATTGGAGCCGTTGCTGAAAAAAGTTTTAAACTGTTCATGGGGCTTTCATGCAAAGTACGCCAAATTTTAAAGAATGTTATTCAAAATTGCAAAGCTTCGACTCGTGCCAGAGTGACAAGGTTTCTTCCATTTGGAATAATTCTAAGGTTGGTTTAGGCGCTAGTAGAATTCACAGACGGAAGGACAAACCAACGAACGGGCAGACGAACGGGCGCCAAACCTTGTATTTTCGTTGAAATAACGAAATCTATTTACCGCATTATTACACATTTTCTCTTATACTACGTATATCACTTCGTATATGCGTGTGTATACAGGACAGTAATAACACAATAAAGGTGCGATTTAAATAAAAGATGCAATATTAAAAAACTCGTGTATCTGTTTCAAAAACAACTATAATAATTTTGCCATTTGAATTTCCCGTAAATATTATGTCCCAAACTGGTGCCGGAAGTTCATTGGCTGTATTTGGGTATGATACGAGGGTTGCCTTCTATATTTCAGGATTAGAGAACAAAAACAAATATTAATCATCGAAAATCACTATTGTTTTTCAAAATATTCCCCATGAAGACAATAAACTATGGCATGCGTTTGAACGAATTGTCGAAGCACTTTTGCCACTATGATTGAGGTTTCCAAAACATGCTTTCTGAATGCAACAAAACCGCTTCTTCAGATGTCGAAAAACACGTTGACCTCTCAGTGTTTTTTTTACGTACAGGAATAAAAAGAAGTCATTCGGTGCCAAGTCAAGACTATACGGCGGATGACTCATCAAATTGATGTTTTGGGTGCTCAAAAATGCAGTGTTTTGAGCTGATGTGTGAGAGCTCGCATTTGTTGGTGAAGAGTAATCCGTCTTCGGCGGTTGGTTTTCCTGATTTCTTGGAAGACAGCTGGCAAACAAATCGTTGTGTACACTCAGAATTTGACTGTTCTGCATGTTCTAGTGGTACGGTTCCGACATGTCAGTTTTTTCGAAAAAAAACAGGCGACCATCTGTTTGGAAGTGCTTCGTGCGGCGAACAACTTTTGTTGGATTTCGCTCATCTTGAAACACCCATACGTCGACTGTATTTACTTTCGGGCTCAACGCATAAATCACGATTCATCACCTGCCACGATGTCATTGACGTGATTTGAGCACCCGATCGTATCCTTTTTAGCATTTCTTTCGACCAATCGACACGCAGCTTTTTTTGAGCGATTGACTAATTATGTGGGATCCAACGCGAACAAATTTTTTTGGGCAGTCAAATGTTCATGCAATATTGAATGTATGCTGGTCCCACTAATGCCTTAACTTGTCTTCAATATCACGATAGGTCACATGATCTTGCAATATCAGTTCACGCACAGCATCAGCAGGTTTTCGGAACAATTGATTTTGGACGACCTTCGCGAAATTCGTCTTGGAGTGAACTACGACCACGATGAATTCATCATACCATCGATAAACACTGGTCCTTGATGGAGTTTCAACAAAAATTGAATTAAGTTCATCTTTCTTCATGAATTAAGTTCATCCAATCTCTTTTAATTACTCTAAACAACACAAATAGCGCTCGTATGTCAAAACGTTCTGAGTATATATAACCTCAAAATATCAACTTCGAGGAGCTGTCAGTTACCAGTTGCAACACCAGGGTTGCAAATCCCGAAACATAAAAGGCAACCTTCGTATGCAAGAGCCCATCCGCCCTTTCCAGAATGAAGCATTTCGATTGAGTTTAGAACACAATGAATGTAACACCTATAAGATTTCGTGTTCATATGTTGTGATTGAATCTGTTTTTAAATATTGGTAAAAAAAATCCAATCACATTTTGGCGCGAAAAATCCAATCACATTTTTAATTTTTGTACTGATAAAATCGGATTTAATTATTTTTCACTATCGTCATTGTTAAAAATTTTTAAAAAAATATGCTATAAAATGACATGAGGCGCATTCTATGGGGGAAACTGAGACATTACTACGTTATCATGTCGAAAGTTAATTTGGAAAATTAATTGATTTAATGAATTTATTAAATTTACAAATTTATTGAATTTGGCGTCCAAATTGGTGAACCAAAATTTCTTCAAATTCGACTATTTTTCTCTGTCTCTTCAATTGCTTCTACTTGATAATACAAAAGAAGCTGAAAAAAAGCAACCCTTTCTCAATGTATCCCTGTAACAGATTGCCCTAGAAGGCTGATTTTTTGGGAATCTACATTTTTTATTCTCTTTGGTTTGGGGGCACTTTTATCCGACAAAACCCTTTGACAGTTTCTGCCAAGTTTGTTCAATAATTCCAACAATATTGTTTCCTTATTACATGTTAAAGTTAGAATAAAGAAAATGTTTTGGGTTATATGTTCAGAGAGTCATGCTTGAATTATGTAGACGAAGGGTGGATGAGTCACTTATTTCTATATGGCAATATTGTACATTGTAGGAATGTACAATGAATTGCCTCAATGCAATAATTCATTTTATTATTTTTTTCTTGGTTAATTTAATGTCACACTTCTTTTATCACCCACATTTTCAGACAGAATTTTCAATATTTCTTAAGCCAACTATTTGCAACATAAATATGTTTTTTTGAGAAACTGAGATTTTAAAAATATTCATTGCCTTTTATAATAAAATTTAAAAGAATTAATTTCTTTAAAATATACTATCAATTAGGACTTCATTTCTTGGGGAATCTAAATGAAACAATTATCACATTTTTTAAATAAAGAAAATTAAAGACTATAAAAGAATTTCAACTGGATTAATTTATCCTACAATATAACTGTTTCATAACAATGTCATGTAAAATAATTTATAAGATATTTATCCAAATTAAAAAAATACTATATAAGGATTGGATCATTATGCAGACTGAATGGAAATATTTGTGAAATTATAATTAATTATGAAATTAAAACTAGGGTTGGGAAGTAACGTGAATTCTGAGCTCTCTTATTCTGCTATAAATTAAGAACTGCTAATTATATTACTAATAATGATGTAAAAGAAAGGGGCAACATTTTTGCTATCCTTCCCCCCAGGAGTTCTTTCTTCTACTTCAGACTTAAGAGCAAAAGAAAAAGAAGGGGGTGGGTAATCAAATGAAATATTTAATGCACAAAACATGACATCGGTGCAAGTTCACATATACATAGTTAAGTTTCCATGTTAAATTTTTACCATCATTTGGAATCTAAGTAAAACTTGGAATATAAGTCTCAAAAAACGAGGCAAAGTTACCTTATTAAGGAGTAATTTCAAAGTGCACTACGTCATTTTCAGACACAGAAAGGGTATTTATAATAGTCAAAATGTAATTCATATTTCTGGGAATAAGTTAAATATTTTCTAATCCACAAAATGTTAAACCATGATGAATGTGACATTGATAAAAATACTTTTCTTACATTTCAAATGAACAAAATCACCAAATGTATTAAGGAGTTTTACCAGCAATGAGAGGTTTCAAATTGCATGTAACAGGTTTTCCTTTGCCAATAGGTGGATTCACATAATCCAAGAACTCAGCTTCTGGATCAGAACAGTACAAGTTAGCTGCTTTACAGGTGTCCATAACGGATCCACCCCCGACAGCAATGAAGGCATCAAACTTCCCATCCCTGGCAAATTTTGTAGCTGCTTGTAAACTGCAACGTTAATATTCATAAATTAGTCCATTTACAATTCCACAATGACTTTGGAATACTAAATGTTCGTACATAATGTCTACCTCTCTTCAGTAGGCTCAACTCGAACTTTATCATATACTTCGAAATTAACACCGTTCTTTGTAAGAGAATCAACTGTTACTTTAAGAGGTGAAAGTTTGGCAATGTATGGATCAGTCATAACACACACTTTCTTAGCTTTCATATTGACCATATCCATTCCAATTTCTTGGGTGACTCCTTTCCCATAGCGAATTGTGGAACACGCCATCTGCAAAAGAAAATATATTCACTTATAGTATACACTATATTTAATCATGTTTAGTCTTGGAAGGTTCATGTATTAAATAAAATGAAATGTAGGTAATACATTTTTGCAAGATGCAATTTAGCAAAATAAATGGCTGTCTCGGAGATCGAACCCGGAGCTCCCGATTGCGAAACCAGCGCGCTACGCTCTGAGCCTCTCCGCTCGGGGTATGTAAGTTGGCTGTTGGGCTGGAGCTCTTGCGATTGCTGGGCTGCCCCATTGCGTGGGTGGGCGAGACGTGTGATGGGAACCGTTCGTCACAACATATATATAAAATCTCCAAGGAAATATTGCTACCACCTAAGTCATCTTGAATGATGTAACGAATGGAGAACGTACTTTGAGCATGGCTTGGATAGACTACCAGACGGCCTATGAAAATGTACAGAGTGCCATACGATTGAATTTTGAAGATCCTAGTGATCTTTCATCATTGACTTGCCGAGTTTTGCAAGGCCATTATATAGTCGATGACTACCAGGTTATTAATACACATCGGAAGTAATAGAAACAAGTAGTATTCAGAATAAACGAATTTTTCAAGTAGATTCGCTAGCCGCTCTGTTGTTTTGATTAGTTTTATTCCACTATCTAACAGTTGTTACACACTAACTTTGGTTACAAGTCTATTCATTCAAGACAAAGACATTTGTTTTACACGAATGATCTTAGTTTTTGCTAAGAACGAAACGATTATCTATCAAATGCTGTCGTGAATGATTTAAATGACATCTGCATGATGTTTGGTCCTGACAAGTGTGCAAAAATCAATTTAAAGAGGCAAAGTGACGTCAGAAAGCAGTGAAGTTGATATGCCCCACTGTAATTCAAGAACTTGAGCCACAAAACTAAACTAGAGACTACAATATTTTCTCGCGTTATTGCAAACAGCGACGTAATACTGAAAAAAAAAGCATTTTCTGCGCCACTAACACTTTATCGTCCAATTCAACCAAATCAAACAAAGTGCTTGTGATGTATATCTGCATTCATTTCGATAGTCAGGGGCAGTCAGGCAATTATTTCTTACTATAACAAATGAAACAGGAATACATTGGAATGTAAGTTACAGTAGCGAACAAATTAATCCGAAAACAGCTGTCCTTTTGAACATTTTATTTTCACAATGGAAAACATACCAAACGTAAACTTTACTTGTATTTAATAATTAATGTCCTCCTTTAATGTTAAGTTCATTTCTTCTCTTAGGTATTGACAACTAAAGTTGGCATTGACAATTAAACACTTATCTGAATTCTTCGTCAAGAAACCAGGCACTGACAATGGACTTAAAAAGGATTATTTTTGTATTTTTCTTTTTGAAAAAAATCTAACTAAAGCTTTCTTTCATGTGACAGGGTGCGAGGACCCGTTGGAAGATCAACGCCTTGTTCTTTTCAACCAGTGGTACGATTTTTCTCTCCAATATTTTTAATTTATAGAGCAGTTTTCACCATTCACCCAACAATGAAGATAGCGCAACAATGAGTCGTTGGACATAGACATAATGGTTCATAAGACAGCCGCGACCAAAATAGTCATGCCAAATAATGAAGATATTACGATAATTCTCTCTGTTCGAATTAATTTGTTCTTTTCTGCAATCTCCTTTTATGTGTGTCTATATTTTTCTTTTAAAATATTTGTAATTATTAAACACTGGAACTTCACGCACTGAAAAAGTAAAAAATATTCATGCCACCATTTTCTTAAAATAGCCAATATTTGCACTTATGACTAAGAATATACGTGAAACAAAAGTGTATTTAGCAACAGTTAACCTTTCTTTATAAGTAATCTTCATTTTACACTGTAGTACAAAACAGTTCTTGGGCACGAAAAAAATTATATGAAGTGATTCAAGCGAAACCAATCTTATCAGAAGACTATCGGAAATATTATATTGGTATTGTAGCATTGGCATGGTTTAATTATTTTTTTTCTTTTGAAAGGGAAATATGTTTTAAATAATTTCTAAAATATTACCTTGTAAATGTATAACAAAAGTTTGAATGTAAGAAACGAGCAAAGAAATATGAAGTAATATACAGAGGCAAGGCAAAATACCTTGTGACATTTTGGCATTTGTAAGTAAACCTTTAATGTCGAATATCTTTCAGAATATAAGGAATTGCGTGATGACACAATAAGAGACACTGAGAGTGTAAGAAGTCAGAAACCCAAATAGTAATTGAATGAAGTAAATTTTGAACAACTTATATTTTTTTCAAAAATAAAGCAGAGAATTAAGATAGGACATTGTTGATAGGGGACAAAAGACGCTCGATCAGGTTTTCGTCCAGTTTCCCTGATCCATTGAGCAAATGCTGAGTTGGCCCGTTGTTTTGCTTCTGGACGTAAATGTAGCTTCACTATGCGCACGTTTTGTTGAACTCTCTTTTTACTTGTAATGGTAAGAGTAGAGTAAGGGCGAGTTGCTATTTTGTTAGCAATGCAGAAAAATCATACTTGCAATTTGTTTAGCGATGCAAATAAGTTTTCTATAACTCGGAAACGAAAATGACTTGATTTTTATAATTTATATAAATAAAATTTATTTTTATTTAAGTTACTCATCTTTCAACTATTTATAGTTAAAATGACGGAAGGGTTCTGGAACTCAAAAACACGTGCGCAGATAATCTTCTCCCCCCTTCGTCACATACAGGTTTTACTGTTTTTGTCTGAATAAATCTAAATCTAAAGAATTGTTTATAGAGTTTCGATGGCAATCCAACAGTTCAAAATTAGGGAAAGATAAAGAAATTGTTGAACATCAAAACTAATTAGAAATTAAAATGAAAAGTTTGGCAGACGACACTTAATGTTGCTGGCAATACAGCAAATGAAATTTACAAGTTGTTTAATTTATCAGTAAACGTAGTAATAAATATTTGCGAACTAAATTAAATTATTCATTAACCGAATACACGTATGAGCGGTGTTTTCTAGCCCACGAAGAAAAGAACAATAATCCGAGAACGCGAAGGCATTCTGTCGCCCAAAACTAACTAAAAACAGAGCTAGCCACTCCATTTAATTAGAATTATTGAGAGAAATTATAGGGACAAATTATGAATTACCACAATAGCCCGATCAAAGACAGGCAAAATAAATAAATCGGGGAAAGTAATTATACAGAAATACAATAATATATATTTTAAATTTAATGATTATAAAAGGAAGAATTTTGATTCACTTCAATAGCATACCCAATGCGGGACAGTAAAGGAATATAAAATAATTATTTTAATTATTATACAAGTGAGAAAGTAAGGTTTCACTTCAATACAAATTCTAACGCAATAAATTCACAGTGGACATTTCACTTTGGCGGCAAATGGCACAACAAATTATAGGAATTTATAAAAAAAATTGTTAAACTTTGCAACAAAAACAATAAGTACAAACAATTTTTGCGGATTCTTTCCTAATCTAGGGGGATGATATCAATTGGGACACGGGCCGCAAAACTAATTCAAATTAGGCGCCACGCTTAGAACACCTCAGTTTCGCTACTCTTTGAAGGCATTTACGAAGATCATAGATTTCAGACTTCCTGCCTTCGAGAGTAATTTTGCTCAAAACCACGCGAATTCTTTCCCAATTGACAAAATACTCATTATTGTGCAAAGCTATTTGAAATCGACTTTCTACTGCTTCGAAAAATCAGTAATAGGTTGCACCACTTCCTGGGCGGCCGCGACGAAATATTTACACATTGTCAGATTTCCCGAAATCCATTTTTTCCACATCAGACGCGACGGTGGTACGTTGGCAGCAAGCAATTATCGTGTAGTTTCTTTGAACCAGCACTCTGAGATGCGGAGCGAAAAAGCAGAAAGCATGAACGTCGTGAAATTCGTAAGGAGAACATTTATTTTCGGCCAGACAGAGGTAACCATTACAATCTCTCAATACTCATTGATTCTTATGGCAAAGTAATAATTTTTGTCAACTGCATGTCGCTTTTTTTAGAGAACTCTCTCGTGCGATGAAAACCGGAAGGAGATGCATGAAACTTCGTCGCAGTTTCTGTTAATGCTTTCCCAATCAGAGAGTATATATCCCAATAATCTAAGCAACATTTCGCAGTCTCAACATCTTATTCGCGAAATACCAATATTACAACCTTGCAACATTCAGATTAAGACGGGTTCGAATTACTTATAAATTATTTAAAACTTATTTGGAATATATGAAATGAAAAGGCTAATAATTGAAAAAATATGTCTAACAAACAATTGGAATTTCTTTTTAAAACGACTGATTTTTCAAACAAATCATCAGACATTAAACCCCTAGTTGCCGAATGTGCTAAAAAGGAAAATAGTCACACAAAGTAGTGTTATAACGAATAAATGATTTTTTATTCTTCCTCTTCTTCGTCATCTGTATTGCAAGTATTTTAAGTACTTCTTTTTTAAATACACCTACTTTATGCATTTAAATACATCTCTTAAATATGCGCCCTAAAACTGCAAACTTCAGTTTTTCAAGTACAAAATTTAATTAAAATACGAATTTCAAATACAAGAATTTAACTACTGCCGAACACTTCTCTTTGCAAATCGTTAAATATTAGATGCTTCATGCACTCTTACATGAATACATACAAAATACATATTGTGAAATATAGTAAAGTAAAAATACGAGAAAGCAAAACTAGAATTTATATATATATATATATATATATATATATATATATATATATATATATATTGGCATTTTCGTTACGAAATTAAGAATATAATTCATAATAAAATGGCAGTATGAAGTAAAACAGTATTGGGTGGAATTGAATGTGTGACAGTGCTGCTTTTAGATAATAGTAACATTTTTCTCAAGCCGGGATTCACAGTGGTTTGGTTTTTTAAGAAATTATAACTAAGTGGTGAATGGCTACTTTCCTTCAGCTACTATTTATCAAGGATACTAAAACACGTACTTGAATTCAAATATAAATGGCTTTAATTATTTTGAAACGTCAATTGACGCAGCAAGATAAATTTCAAACTTTTTTTATACATACGCGAGAAGCAAAAATATAGTACGTTTTATAGGGTGTTAATTGATTGAAACTATAGATATAATCTAAAAAATCCCACAAGAAGAATATACGGGTGAACATGCATTTTATTTTTCGTTTACATTTGTTTATTATTTTCAGTTATAAAGTAAAATAAGTTTGGTGGCGGGAACCCTCATGGGAATAAAATTTAAATATGTTTAGTGAGAACGTGTTATAGTGAATTCGGAAGGCCGGGTATTTCCACATTTGAGCAAGACAGAGAAACGCGGGGTAAGGCGGAGAGGAGATACAATAGAATAGATAAAAGTAGGCTCCGCGAAAGGGCGGGAATAAATGGAATTCCCCTTTCTGTGTAATAACAAATTGTTATGGAAACCTCCCCAGCAGCGAGGGGTCTTCGGCTACTTGTGAATAAACAAGGAGCTTTCAATATTTGTCGAAAAAACTTATTTTAAGTGACTTCTCATTTATACGAGTAGTTATGATTTTCAGCAGTGCCATACCAAATGTTATTGTTGGACGAATGATAGATTTATATTAAGATACCTGAATCATTTGAGAGTTTTTATAATGAACGGGTATAATTTAAGAATTTTGCTATGTGCATTATTAGATGTTGATGAAATGTGTAGTTTTCATGTTAATTTTGTGTTTATTTGTTTTATAGAATTGGAAGCAATTAATAGCTTTATGATTAATTGGCTGACCAGTTTTTATTATTTACATGTTAATAAACAACACCAAATACATTATTTCGTACTGATAAGCTTGCCAGAGTAAACAATGATGCATATTTAATTGTTATTTTTGCGAAAACGTGTTCTTTTCTCCTGGAAACTTCGTGAGTGCTTACGGGAATACGACTCTTCCGCCATTCATGTTCACGTTCCACTTACCTCATATCTACGTTCCATTCTCCTTATGTCCTGATGGGACCTTCCCCTTGTATCTCCATGATTTCCCAAGTTTCCCAGGGAAAATTAGTTTTCCATAGGCGAGTGTTTTTTAGGAAGTAAACATTCAAACTCATGTTGGCAACCTAGTATTTGAAAGGCTTTCACTGTATGCGTTTCCACGATACATCCTGAGTTAGGATCCTTACGTTACCAAGGAACTAGTCAACAATATCTTCCAGGTTACCCTCTCCTCATCCATGGTCCATGAGAAAAATGTGGATCTGAGAAAAGTTTTCTAGTGTCTGGGCCTACAGAGATTCGTTCTTTTATCTTAACGTCACGTAAACCAGGGAACTTGGAGCATAAGTACTTGGAACTTACTTTCTTTATAGAATGAATTAACGAATTGTTTATCAACCCTAGCTTTATGTGGAGAGGAGGTAGCAGGATTATGTCAGAAGGAACCAAACGTTTCCTAATTACATATTTTTCGCCGCCTGGCTAGAGAGCTTCTCGTGATGGCCAGTATTTTTTGTTTCGTGGGAATTTATCCCATCAGCATAAAAACAAGGAAAACTTGAATACCCTAATTGTTGACCTAAGAGCATGGTGAGGACTATCAAGTCTCCACAAATCAACCACTTATGCTCATTAAAACGAATTCGTTCGAGTACTAATGCGAAATTATTTCCTTTTCCTTAAACGTTTCCTTTAAATGTACCGATTAGCCAACTGGAACTGAAGCATAAGTATTGTCATTGCGTAACAACACATCTTTTAGACTTCGTTTTGATGAGACTATGATTAGACGCTAATGATTACTTCGCTAAAAATCCTCAATTTCTTGTTTGTGCTCTTTACCGTTTCTTTCTTCTTTTTTCGAAATCGTTCGCCGTTTCTGCAGCGTCTTTTAACACTGACCTCTATGAATGAAATGCATATCATGCAATTGCACTATCATGTACAAAATATATGCTGTACCATACGAGAGTAATAGTGATAAGCGGTTAGCAAATTTCATTAGTCCCTAAAGCATCTTCTTTGCCTGTTCTCTTGCGTGCCACGCACGTCCCAGGTAAAACCAACATTTTTTTCAAACTTTTATTTTACAACAGGGTACCAAGTTCTTTTTGTCAATCAAGGTTTATTCAACTGATTCAAATACTCACCTCAAAGGCGTAATCCTTAGATTGCGTGGCATTTTGGGCTGAACTCAGGAGCACTTTTGCATCTAGGGCACTCGTACCAGGATGAGCGTGTGCAGGACACTTACACCTACAGGAATCATTAAAATAATGAAATTTTAATATTATTTACCTTAATTAAACTGTAGAAATTGTCACGGCTAAAACCGTAACCATGGGTGTAAATAGCCAGCACTATGCACTAGACTGTTTAAAAAAGGTCCAATTGCAAGTTCAGTCAATCAGTAAGTAATCAAGTACGGATTTGCAGCATTCATCGTCACAGGTATACGGGAGAACGTAAGGCCATAAACACTGCAGTTGAAGTCGCCATAGAACGTCACACTTTCACAGGGCGCTGGATAATAGAACATGAGTTCAAGAGTTAAGTTTTAAGATTTCATTTCATTCTACATCTCATTCCCTCTTTAATAATAATAATAATAATAATAATAATAATAATAATAATAATAATAATAAAGAGCAACTATAAAGGCATAATCAACTTAACCTCTGCGTCCTTTTTACTTTCCCCCTACTGAGTAGGGAGAAAGTCATGAAATGCTGTTCGAAAAAACTGTGCATTTTCAGTAGAGAAACTTCATAGCAGGGCCCTGATAACGAAGAAGTGGAGAAATCCAGTTGCTTAATTTAGAAAAAAGAATCCTCTATTACGTGGTGTAGCGAGAATCCATGTTTGGTGGGGACTTGAAGCCAAAAAATCGAATGACGGCAAAACGTCAGTCTGTCCGTCTGTGAACAATGCTAGAGGCCAAACCGTTCAACCGATTTTCTCCAAAATTCGATATTCCCCAACCGATCTGGGTGATGTTGGATTTGAAACCAATATTTCACTTTCGGGGACTTACTTTACGTTAAGTCTCTGCGTCATTTTTCAAAATAAAAAAATAACTCAATCGTTTTTGATTACATTTTGTTGTTGGATAGTTTAAGGCAAGTCTCGTGCTCGTTACAAACCCTGATTTTTCGAAAATTGAAACGTTCAAAATTTTTTCGGAGTCTTCCTAGAATTAAAATATTAATGACAGAAATGTTTGCCTTAATAAAATCTGTTCCTTAAAGATAGATTTAGCAATAAAGTCATGTACAATTTTTCAAAATTTTGAGCACTTTTCGCGTAACTTTGGGTGAAAATACAGGGGAGGAAGTCCGTGCTGTTTAGCGCCCGCCACTAGTCCTCCTAATGCACGGCGCTTTTAGTTGAATCGTTCCCTTAGTTTACGACTCCTACAGCCATTATTATGGCCACAAACTCTCCTAATTCCTCTCTCCGACTGAAATAGTGGCCACCAGTACGACTCGCGTGCGTGTTGTGAAGCCTACCTCACGGGAGCGGGGAGGGGGAGGGGGGACGCGTTCATAGACTCGGCGCAGGGTGCACTGACGTCTTGCCTTTCGTCGACACCCTTTTCTCTGGATTACCTGTGTACTAGTTACTTAGCGTGGGTTACTTGGGACCGACGAAAATACACCAATCCCACTGTCAACAGTACATTCTAAAGCACATTCAATCTGAACAAATATTTCACCTGAATTCATGTTTATTAATTAGTATACTTAAATTTGTACGACTTCCACTTCCAACTTCCGAACAATGAATGCACATGCTGGTTTCCCCCAAATTTTATTCTTTATGCAAAAAGTTCTTGAAAGACGTCTCTTCGTAAGTGTTCTGGAGATGAATTGTTACCTTTTGGATTAATAACAGCAGACTCACTTTGTTTGTTAATTACGTCGGTAAACACGCGCTTAGCTCCGCAACGCATTAAGAGCGCGTCCATAGCAACAGCCGTTAAAATGCTCGAGAGCTCATTAAACTATTTTAGCGGACTCTCGGGTTCATATTTTACCAGTGCTGATAAATATTATATATATATATATATATATATATATATATATATATATATATATATATATATATAAATATATTCCCTTTGCCCCCTTGCCCCGTTTGTCCTTTTGTCTAGTTTGCCCCTTTCCCCCATTTTGTCCCTTTCGTCTACTTTTCCAACTTTGTCCGTTTGTCCACCTGCCCTCTTCGCCCACCTTTTCCCGCTTTGTCCCTTTTGTCCCCCTTTGTCCACTTGGTCCTTACGCGCACAGCGATTGTTATTTTAAAACGGTACCAAGGCCCTGCAGCGACAAACTTTGCTGCAGAACACCAAGAGTAATTACATTTCTTAACTCATGAAAGTGTGAAATGTTTATTTTGAATAACTAGAAATAAAACAAACAATTTATGGAGCACATCCTCTACTAGTCTTTAAAATCGTGTTACATAAATAACTATTAGTTCGTTCAAATTGGCAGGTGTTCGTAGATGATGACGATGATGTATGAACAGAAAATCAAATTAAAACCTAATTTTTTATCGTATGATACGTTATCGTGGTAATATCTCTGAAGATAAGCCTTGTCAACTCTATTTAGGAGGCAGTACAGATGTAAAACAACATATGCGAGGTATTATGTAATGGAACTCACGAATTCTTGAAAAATGTTGCACATTTTCACGGGAGTAATAATTCAATTCGAATTCTGAGAAAACTATACGCGATATAGATTCGCGTTATATTCTATGTTCAAACACGTCACGACGTTCAACCATTACAAATTGAAAATAGGCAGCAAAAGCATTTTCGATGCGGCTACGCTGCGTAGAGGCGAGCTGTCTTCGCTTCGCTAAAGCCGCGCGAGTTGTTTGGCGCGAGGCGAGGCGCTAGTCACGCTGAAGGGCACCAGCGAAGGTCCTTGAAGCGATGCTCTATCGAAATGTGCAAAACGCGCGAGGCGTCTGCAATCACAGAATCTTTGTTTAAGAACTTTCCTTCACCAATTAACCATGTCTGATACACATACGTACATACTCTACGTAGAATCGTCATTATCTGAATCATTTATACTTTCGAGCATTATCGAAGGCGGGTTGAAATATCACTCTCATCGCCTCTATCAAACGAGCGACAATTAATAGAAAAGAAAGAATACAGCAGCACAATAGAGTGTAGCCTTATTCCTTAACGAGAACAAACGAATTCGCTGTGAGAAAAGAGAGTGGGAGAACATTAGAAATGAAGTTACCACATCGCGTAGTGTAAACAAAGAGTAGTTCAAATAATTGCCGCTTTATTGTCAAACATTCTAATAAAAGAACGCGCAAACCAAAAATGTATTGTAGAACCGGGTGATTTCGATAAGTTTTAAATTTGTTTTTGAAAAACCTACATCTTCGGTTTTGAAAGTTGCACTTTTGAGAACTGTAGCAGATGCGTGGATGTTGAGGCGTAACAAAATACGTAACAAAGCGTAACGTGTACTTTACGTAACAAAGCGTAACGTGTACTTTACGTAACAACATGATTTACATCTTTAAAATATTTTTAGAAACCGCCCTAACAAAGTCACCTTTGGTTTGGGGTGACTTTAATACTCGATTTGAAGATGATTAGAAGGCGTTTTTTAGTGACAATAGTGTACATTTCACCATCATTGAAATTGGACAGACAGTTTTCTGTTTATTTTGTTTTAAATATAGGGGGTGACTTCGATAGGATTGGCTGCACTTCTACGTTTGAAATAACAAACAACAAGGAATTTCTTTAAATAATGATGATTTCAGTAAACATTTCTAGAAAATATACATATTTTGTGTAAGTAATCGCTTAATTCTAAGTAATTCCTTTATACATCTACAGAATCATTAAATTTGTAAGTCATTCTTCTGTCATTTTCTTTCTCCTCTGGAAGAGGCAAAGTGACCAAAATGTCCTCGAAATCAACGTCAAATATATTCTTTTCCATAAGCTTGAATATCTGATGAGAGGTATCCACACTCTTCTATCCAATTCTTCTCTATTCCCACTCACTATTTTGCGGATCACACCGACGTGTTTGTTAAGTCGTGCATTTCGCTTTCCTGTCACAATCTTCCCCAACACGTGCACTCCCGGCTTAAGTGGTTGTGAAGTTGGTATTGACAATGATACTTAATTTGTATCTTTTTCCCGGCTGTGTGAGAGCTCGTTAATTTGATGACAATTTTCCATTTTGCAAATCCTCATCAGAGAGAGTTCTGCATAACATTTTTTAAATTGTGGTCTAATTGGTCAGAAGAAAGTCATAACTTTGACAGGATTGAGAAGGGCAATGCCAGTTGCTTTATATTAAATAATGTAACATGTAGTAGATAGACAGTTATTTACGAATACCCATATTACACGATTTATTTGAAAAAAGTACTAATCAAAGTTACTCCTCGACTGTTATCAACGTCACCCCATTGGTCAAATGATTACAAAACCCTCTGACATTTTAGGTGAGAATATTCTTCTATTCACTACTTTTCTACATACTACTAAATTGTTAGATACTTGAATAAAATATATGCCTTGGTCTCAGTTGTAAATTTTCCGACGCAAGAATTTCTTCAAAATATAACACACGGATTTTAAAACAAAACACAGCCCCAGGAATGATCTCATGAAACAGTGATATGTGTATGGGAGCTCGTAGACATCCAGAATAGCCTAGTGCTACACAGGAAATCCATCAAGTCACGATTAGGAGCTGCTGCATCACATAAACATTGTCAAGGAGTTATAAAAGTCATCCCTTGATATCAGTCATCCCAATCAACGGTATCTTACCGATTTGATTCGTAAAAATTGCCACTAAAGCCTCAGTACGAAATTCGAGACAATGTCATAAATAAGGCATTATGCCTTTTCCTATGGGACAGAGAGGTGTACGTTCCTATCCCCCCACTCTCCTTCTTTGGTCCCTGAGACTTAGACGGAGGTAGAGGTTAAATACTTTTTCAATGAAAAATACTAAAAGTAATTCCGATTCCAGTTGTTGCTTTCCTTTTTTGAAAGTGCTCTTATTACATTTCCAGTGGAAGGAAAAAGTGTCAAGGAAGTTCCACGACAGAGTAATACAGAATGACAGACTCATACAAAAGTTTTCTAATTTCCTTAGTGTGGGCTAGCTTTACGGTCTTGCCCCATCCTCTTACTAGCTGCCATCTATGGCCGCGCAAAATTCACTTTTTGAAATTTTCTGAATTTTCCCGTTATTTCGTTATTCAGATTATGTTATTTAATTTCAGTTTTTTAGTTATTCAATTTATAGAGTAAAATCTCGTCCCTATATGGAAATGTTCGTTGAAAAATTTGAAGCCGTTGTTAAGAAAAAATCGTTTAAGATTAGTATAAGTGGGAAATTTGAAGCTCCTTTCCACAGAAATCTTTTGTTTTCAAAAAATTTCAAAGTACTTACACTCACCAATGCAATAATGTTTACAAATCGCCCGAAATGTGCATATTAACGGCGTGAGAGATATTAAAAAAATACATTTGTGTATTTAAAAAAAAAGAATAAAGCAAACTTTTTAATGTCATTTTAAACAGTGCAATGAGCACTATCCGTAAAAAAATAATAAAAGAAAAATTTGAAACAGTTTTTGAGAAAACAGCGTTTGATTATTTGTGAAAACGTGGGATTTTGAGCTCATGTTCACAGGAAACTTTTGAGTTTTTCGAGAAACTTCACCTGACATCATTTAAAGAACATGTGCTCATAAGTTGAACGTGAACAAATTGCCTCCAAATCAAATATTAACGACGTGAGTGACAAGTAAAAAAAAAAAAAGTTGCAAATTTGGAAAAAACAAAAGAAGGGAGAAAACGGCATTTCTGTCATTTATAGAGTGCATTTAGTACTATCCCAACCAAAAGTTTGAATATAAGATTTGGAGAGGTTTTTGAGGAAATCTCTTTTTTTTAAATTTTTTAATAACACACATTTTGCACGCAACATTGCTTGAAAATTAATGTAAGTTTCAAAAAAATGTGCATGACTTCATCTTCAATTTTTTAGTTGTAGGAAGACGTCGAAAAAATTTCATTCTTTTGCAATTTTCAAAAATTCAGAGTTATAAATGAAAATCGGACTTATGCCATCCTTATTCTATTCCTTCTTTTCTTTGAAGAAATTTAAAGAAAAAATTTGGAGTCATTTTTGAGAAAAGTTTGAAAGTGTCTCAAGGAATCGATGTAAAGTACTTTCAAAAAGTTAATAAATGTTTTTAAAAATCGCAGGGCTTCCACTTAGGCCAGATCGACAGTGGGTTATTCAGTTTGGAAAAATCCTTGGCATAGTTTAGCGTTGTTCACATTCACCAGACGGACAGACACAGATGTTAAAAAAAATATTTTTTGGTATCAAATATGTACCAAAACGTGTAATTCCGTTGAAATCTCGAAATCGATTTTCTGAAGCATAACTTTATGTTAGGTATATTACTCCGTATACACGTAAGTATACGAGAAAGTAACCAGTGGTGCTACAGAGTGGCACAGACTTTCTAGTATTGTTTTTCTAGTTTCTTTGCTCTGGGCTAGCTCTTCGGACTTAAAAAATACCCTTGCTTTTTGTTTTTAAAAAATGGAGCTGCTTTTACGGAAATGGCATTTAAGCGTTACTCTAAATGCGAAATTTGAATCTATTTTTCACAGAAAACTGTTGAGTTTTCGAAAAACTTTATTGGAAGTCATTTGAAGTGCTTCCACTTCCAAATGCAATGATTTATACAAATTGCGAGAAATGTGCACATTAAAGGCGTGAGAAATATTTCAAAGAAATTACATTTGAGTAATTTTTAAAAAACAATAGAATGCAGCAAAATTAACGAACTGTGCAAGCTTCATTTTTAAACGTGCTGTTTAGAACATTTCTAAAACATGTAGTATATAGGTCTGCATTAATTCACAATTCTGTAGTAAAATTAGGACAGCTACTCTCAAAATAAGTCTAACAGTTGCTCGGTCCCTTTTGGAGAAAGCAAGGACACGAAGGGATCAGGTTGAAAGTAAAGAATTCTACCTTCAACAACGATGAAATCGAACAAATCATTAAGTTCTAACTTTCACATTAAGATAGAAAAAGGTATCTTTGGGCGTCAATTAGTATGTATGAACGTTCTACCTATTGTTTACGAATTAATTTTATTCAGTCAGAGATAAAAATTGCTTCTTCAATGTTAAATTTATTAAATTTATCTGGAAGTTTTCGGGCATGAAGTGTCGTCAATAGTGTTTGCCAAACCAAACCAGCGCCGAAGCGAGATAATTTTGGCCCGGGGCAATGCTGAAACGTAGCCCGCTCCCCCTCCTTCGAAAAAAATGAGAATTGAAACACTAAAAAATTGTTGTTTAGTTAGTGTTTAATATAATCGCTTGCTAAATAGTGAAACAATAAATATGAATTTCGGTGGAACCTATTTTTAATGTTAGCGTCATTTGATTCATTTCAGAGTCCTACTTTATAAGTAGGGCTGTGAATTATATGCATTTGCATATTTTTTCTGTTAACTAAAACATCCAGTTTCAACCAAGTGTTTACGTTTTGAGGCATTTAAAATCGATGTAATGTGTTTTTATTCGCATATATCCCACAATTGCATATTTCTGTTGCGCATTCACCCCCCATCCGCAAAAGAAGGCCAAGAGTTACAGTTCCGTCAGCGAGTGAGCGCTCTGTCAGGTCTCTCGCCTCTTGGCGCATGTGGCCAGCGCTGAAGCACAGGGCGTCGGGAGGATTTGGTCACGTTGCCGAAGCACTGCGCTCGCCTGACTCCTGCGAAGGCGCTCGAGAACGCGAAGACCCCTCATCGGCAGAAGCAGTCGAAACGATATATGCATCCGCCGAGTGCCTATGCATGCCCACACACAGCGCCAAGGCGGAGTGATGTTAACAGTCAGGCCCATGAATTTGTCGTTAATACAGAGGAAGTCATATTTTTGTTGCAATACCTGTATTTTTATTTTGTGAAATATGCATTAACTGTATCTCTCATTATTTTCCTAATAAATGTGCGTTCTTCAAAATTAAGTCTTTGACTTAATGCTTGTAATTATTTTATATGATTTCAATGTCTTTTTTTACTGTAAACGTATTTTCCACATTGCAATTTTATTTATTTGTACACTTACACATTACAATACAGTTTCAGATATTTTCCTTTTTAATTGCATATATTGAACGCGACACCGCAACCGCACACGCATATAGTATAGATATATATAATATATATTATATATATATATATAATATATATATATATATATATATATTGCGCGCTTATTTCGCTGCTTTTATTGCATATAAATGTCAGCCCTATTTATAAGTAATTACTGTAATTAACTATTTTATGTAAACATTTAATTGAAAAAATCATGAAATATCACACTATTGTACAGTGAATTATAAAATGACGATAACCATTTTCTCTAATTCAATTTCTTTTTGAACATTTTTTCCAGTCATCGGACCCCGAACGATCACCTATATGGAGATGCCTAGAGGCGGCGCAGCACCAAATAATACTAAATCTTTCACAAAATGGAAAATAGTTAATCACGGCATCACGCCACAGCAACCTTGACATCCATATTGTATGACACTACGCTGTGGTGGTAAAATCACCAACTAACAACATTTAAACGCAAAAGCGCCAAAGTACCTGACAGGATTGAATACTTAAAATATACTAACGAGCAAATCGAAAGTTGGAATTGAAAACAACAACGTGAAATTCATTATAAACATTCTCTAGGTGCTGAAAATATCTAAACAGCAAACAAATGTTAACAATATTCAACATACAAAGTAATGTTATATTATGCTACTCACAAAGCACTTGTATTGTGCATTGTTATATTGTGCTACTTACGATGCACTTGATATGGTGTGCAGCAAGTCGATAATCTTGCGCCGCTGCATCATTTTGGAAAGACCTCTTCACCACGACCGTTCCGTAACACCCTCGCAGTTACTATGCACAACTGTCGCGGCCTAACTGTTTACTACTTATGTAACCCAAGTTCAAGGTTTGACGACGTCCCAATCTCTCCGAGCTCCGGCACTCGAGCGCTCTCTACGCGGTGCGTGTCTCGTTTCGCTCCCCTCACGGCGCCTCCGGCTTGGGCTCGCCAGCTCCAGACCTGTTACGTCACGGCAGAGCGAACCCGTTCAAGCGATTCTTGTTATCTTCTCAGGGCCAAATCAGTCGCAATTATTACGAGGTGGTAGCCTATGTCAAATGCAACAAGTGGACAGTCTGCTCCGACCTCCTTCGTATACCACTAGATATCTTTAATGTCAGTTGTTTATTGTGGAGAGCCAACATGTACGATTCGAATATGTGCACAGTTATCTGCATAATTAAAGAAAACATCTCAGCTGTTATGACCACGACATTGTATTAAGGGATCAACGTGCCAACCAAAGTAAAATTATTTTTTCTGATATATTTAGATTATATTCGAAGCGAGTAAGTCAGAGTCAACTAAAAATAGCGGCGATGTTATTGTCAACAGAACCCGGATAGTTGGTACGCATGATTAAATTATGTTCCCGTATATTGCCGCTGAATTTGAGGGGGTAATTAAAGAAAAGCAATTTAACCAAGTAATAAATTTAATTTTTAACAGAATAAAAGGAATTTTCTGAGATTCTCTACAATTTTAAATGCATTCTTTAGATACTATATTATACAATAACGGCATTGACATTGCTACCAAGTTCTATTTTTATTAACATTTTCATTTTTAAACAATTTTCACCTAATGAAGATTGTTTGATATCTGAAAGAAGTTTATTAAATGCTCAGTGTAATGGTTTGTGAAGCATTTTTCAATAACCAAATAATTTCAATTTCATAATTCACCAAAGAAAATTAAATATAAAATTTGATTAGACTTGATTAGATTTGATCAGAACAAAATAACCTGTTTGAAATGATTTATCTTTCTTACATAATTTTTGCAACTTCTTTGGAAATGTTCAATTAACTCTGCAAGACAATAATTTAGATACACTTATAATCCATTTTCTCTTCATTGTAAATTCGTATCTTCATTTTAATTTGCCTATTCTAATAATATGACTCAAATCCCATGTTGCACATCTTTAACTTTTTTTAAACCATTTTGAGTATGACAATTTTTATATTTTTGATGTTGATGATGATCATAATAATAATAATAATAATAATAATAATAATAATAATAATAATAATAATAATAGTAATAATAATAATACTTTATTGCTTATAGACTTTTAGAAAGTATCAAGCAAAGTCTGCCTAGAAATTAATTAAAATTACAGTAAGTTTATTACATTTTTTAAACTGCATTCACTTACAGTAATAATTTAAAAAGTTTAAATAATGTTGATAAATTAAGTTAAAAATACACATAATAGCTTAAAATAAACAATTAAATTAATTTAAGTTATAAAATGAATCTAAATTCTATTACATAACATACAGTAATAATTCAAATAATATACTTGATGAATTACTTAATAAAGCATGCAAGTTTTCACAATATTATATAAATATATATTATATAACATTAATATAATTTTACACTACACAAAGACTCATTAACAAATTTAAAATAACATTAACAATGCATTATACCAGTAAACTGGCAGATTGTAATAGTGGCAAATAACTTAAGAGTTAATAATTCCAGTATCTTACAGAAGTAGCTTCCAGTAACTTACAATAACTTGAATACAATAGATGTTAATAATAATTGTAAGTGCTTTCAATATCCTGACAATTACATTATTTATTACTTTTCTAAGTAGTATATTGCCTTATCGAATTGAATGACTGGTAGAAAGAGTGGTCACTCTTGGCTTTTAATTACAGAAAAGTTAAAGCAATTCAGATATCTTATATGGACACATACTAATAAGATGACGTTTAAGCAGTGTTTTGAAGTATTTATCATCAGCAGTTTTTATTTTCACTGAGAGTTCATTAAAGAGCTGTGCAGCAATGCTGAAAGGATTTTTGTTAGTTGAAGACTAACTTGTATATCCTGTGATGGTCCCTATGTCCTCTACTATGGTAGTTACGTACCTCTTTATTATTCACATGTTTATTATTTAATTACACTGTATTACTCAATGTTTAAGCATTTGAAAATATCAATCTTTCATATTTGTATCATTTCAGAGCCTTCATTATTTCTACTTCAGAGACTAGTGCAGCGGTTTTCAAAGCTTTCTCGTTTGCACACTCTTATCATGCAGAATATTGTGGCACACCCATATTGCAGAAGCAACGAAAAATGTCTGTGGACATAAAACACTCTGAACTTCTGAATATACTACTTTTGTTTATAACCACAAATTAAAGTAAAAATGATTTTCAGCATTGTCTCTTAAAAATAAAAAAAATTGCTATTGCATGCAACTCTTTCTTGCATTGAACTATAGTGCTCACATGTGAATGCAGTGAACTATAAACAAGCTCACATGTCCCTTCAAAGTAAAAAAATACTCAAATTATTGACAAAATACTTTTTAGTTATTTTCGTCATTAAGCATGCACTTAGTTCCTTAGCAACCAACCATTAAACAAAGATGCACTAATGCACGTCCATAGCCATTAAAATACTCGAGAGTCTATTAAAAACAGTTCAACAGACTTCCAGGTTTAGATTTTACCAGTGCTCATAAATGTTGGATAAATATGTCATTACCACAAAACAGAATTTTTTAGGAATAAATGTCAACAAAATTCATTTTTACAATTGTTTTGGTACAGATATACTAAAGTTACTATTTTTGAACTTTGCACTGAATGTAATGCAATTTGAAGTCATGACATTTATCTTTGTTAGTACTACAAGCAATCAATTCAGAAGTTTTGTCCCTTTCCAATCTTATCCCATTATGACCTGTTTGTCCCTGATGCCCACCTTGTTCCAATTGCCCCCTTGTCTCATTTGCCCCCATGGTCACATCTGTCCCCCTTTGTTCTGTTGGTCCTTTCATGCACAGCAATTGTTATTTAAAAATTGTATTAAGATTCTGTACAAATACTTGCTACAGATCATCAATGGAATTTCTTAAGTTTAGAAAGTGTGAAATGTTTATTTTTAATAACTAGAAATAAAAAAAAACATTGTATGTAACACATCTATTAGTTGTTAATCATTAAGATGACTTGTTACATAAATAACTATTAATTGTCAAATAGTACACTAATATCTCAAATATCTTACTCTTCAATGTGTTCATACTCTCTATATTATCTAATTCTCATGGCATTGATGTATTTTCATGAAACACCAACTGGATTAGTTCGTTCTAAAGCACTAATATTAAGTTGGTATTATGTAGAAATAGTGATTACATCGCTGAAGTGAATTCTTTTGGATATCACCATCAAATGTGCTAAACACTGAAGGCAAGTCATAAATGACAAGGTTGGAAATTTCTATGACTATCTTTCATCTAATTAAATTCTTTAACAACTTTATTATAAATGATAACAAAAAAATAATTACAATTTCTTTCAAATTGCAACACATATTAAAAGTTGAGATGAACTGATTTCCAGCCTCCTTCAACGACTAATGAAAAAATGTAGTTGAAATATATCCTGCACCAATTTAGTGAATGTTTTTAATTTTGATATTGAAAAATATTCCAACAAATTTAGGCAAAATATACCTATGCATCACAAACATATTAACAGTTAAGAAGTTTACTACAACTGTGAGGTGTAGGAAGTTTTTGTGAAAGGTGTCCATTGTTTTTAGGAAGGAAGTCCTAAACTTTGACTCTGAACTAAAGAATAGCTTCTGCTCCTGCTTTGTTGTCTGAAATGATCCCAAAACTCCTTAAAGAGCAGGCTCAGTAGGGCCAAAAGTTACTGTCAAGGGCACTGCACAATACAAATCCCTAAGCCCGTTCAGATTGAAACTCTCTCCAAGAGCCCAATATTTTGACTACTGTAGACTGGCACACACTATTTCTTTGATGAATATACCATTTTTTCCCCTTTTCTTTTATTAATTAATGATCATCACCACAATCAAGGAAATTTCATCACATCCTAGGTAACTCAAAGGAAACAGGTAAGAGATGAAATACTCCTGAAGGGGGGGGGGGGGTATGAAATCAATGATGGCCGAACTGGAAAGATTGGATATGATGGTTTACACTGACTGGAAGGCGTTTCAGGTAAGAATAATGAAAAAAATAAAAATTGCAGACTATCTTATATAACCCATTACTTTCATTCATAAAGCTAGCTGAGGTATATTTTGGCAAAGCATTATAACTTTACAGGTTATACATAGGAAACAATCATCACTGTCAATATCCAATGTAATATCCACATATTAAGCAGTTAAACATAACATTATGGACAAATTGATATTAAAATAAATATACAAAACATACTCACAACAATCATGATCACATTAAAGAAAATATCCCAGCTCAAAAGACAATACAGTGTACAAATGCTTAATACAAGTATAGTTAAAGCACACACCACAAAATACATCAATCTTTATGTGGTTTCTGTGGTTTCTCTACATAAACATCTTCACTGAGCTTTTTAGCCAGAAAATATATTTCGGCCAGTGCTATTATCAATGCACACATAACACCAAGAAGCAGTCTAAAGCCAAAATCCAAGTCTCCAATCATTAGTTCAATACCAAGGAAGCCAAATGCAAATCCAGCTGCTACAGATAGGACAAACTGGAATACAGCAATGAGCTGTTTGTTGATTTGCCTTACTGAAACAATTAAATTATTAATTTATCAAATATTGAAATACATGTATTGCTTACACACATTTAATACTGAATACGAGAATATGAATACATGAAATTTAACTGATCCTGACATTAATTTAAAATAATTCTATGATTACAAGATGGAATTCAATATTAAAGGTCAGCTTGTTTAGAGTATATTCAAAGTAAGAAACAAATATTGTTCTCAATCTACAACATTCTCTTACAACTTTTTTGTACCACCCTATTTATATTGCAAAGAAAATACGGATAGCATCGTTCTCTAATAAAGATGTCAGCTACATTTTGCCTGAACGTTCAATGCAAATATGAGAATAGCTGGTTGGGAAGAGAAGTTTATGGAAACACAGGAGGGAAAGAGCCTTTCCTACATTTCTGAACTATGAGGAGTATATACTGCACACTGATGTCATAATGGTTAGAGGTTGTTAGGTCAAATAAGAAAAGGCCTAATTTTTTAAGTCTAATGTCAGGTCTATAAAGACATGCCTAATATAAACTTGACCTAATTATTTAAAATATGGCCTAATTGTCAAAATTATCTACTAAAATTTGGCTCACGAATGCTATTGAACATCATTATTGTGTAATCATATTATGGGTTTAAATGAAACCATAATAAAGAGAGAAACTTTAGTTCATTTTACACAACTTTAATTCATACTTCATATAACACAATTCAGGTATATGCTTAAAGACCGGATTTTTATGTAATTACATGTTTTTTTGTTTTCCTTCTTACAATTCTCAAATTTGTAATCTTGTAGAATCATTGCCGTCATAACACAATATCCAATTTTTTCGTTGCCAATTTAGTACTATATTACATATTTTGCTATTTTCACAAACTATTTTTTATCCCATCAATTTTCTTTAATTTTATTGCGTAATTTTCAAGAAACATTACAAAAAAAGCAGAATTTGTTTTTACATTATGACTACCTGATGTCTACTCGAGGTACACTATGTGAAGACGCGGTCAGATATTATTGAAGTCTGGAACGCCTGCTTCAGTTATTTTGATGGCTAGAAATGTGCATCGGCAACCAAGATAATTTTCAACTTTAGCTATGAGAAGTATCACTGAAGCTGCTTTGTGTGACCTTTATCCTTCTAATCCTTTTGTAGTAGTTACAAATATTTCTATAGAAACATGCAGAGAGATCATTTTCAAAAACTTCAAATTGTACCTGACATCCCTATTGAACCTCCTGCCCATACCTAGTAGACCCTTAGTGTGAACCTCTCAGAGTTGTGTAATCGAATCTTCTATTCTATTCCTCTTGTGTTATTGAACATTGTCTTTTGGACCTCCTGTCGCATCACACCTTACTCTACAATACACATCCTGTAACATTGGACCCACTGAGTATTCGACCTTCTGTTCATGGACCTAACAACCTGAAATCACCATGACCCCACAGACTTACTCGTCTTGAACATAATGTTATTTGTTTGGAGGTAAAATTTAAGCTGATGTGTTTAAACAATCCATAGTTGATTACTGTAAATTATCACATTCAAAGAGCTCTTACTTCCAAAATTCACTTCATATTATGAAACTTTTTGTGTTAATTTCAATGTCTGATAGTATTTTACACAATTTCAATGGTATAGCTTGAAACTTGAATTCTACAAAATACTTCATTATATATTAGACGTACATTATGATGCAATTGATTTTTATCATGTGCACTGAATAATTTCAAAAATACAGACAAGAATTTGAATAAAATTCTAAAATAAAATAATAACTGATAAACGCTAAACAAATTTACAGAATTGTGAAATTCATGTTGTTTATAAGAAAAGAAATATAAAAACGAGAAGTCTTTTGTATACCAAAATGAAATAGACTATATAAACATGAATGACAAACTAATACTCTTAACATACCGAATTACAAGTATTGTACCTAAATAATTATCAACTTTAATAAAATAAAAGACAAACTTACACTGATAACTAATGGAATCTTCTGGTTCAAACACCCTGGCTGCATCTACATTTTTTGTCATAGATCGATATGCTCTGGCTTCTTGTTCTTGTCGCAATCGCTGAACTCTAGCTTCTAATTCTGGACTTCGTGGGAGGACCTCTGGTTCTGGGAGTACAATTTCACAGCCTTTCAGCAATTCATGTAAATAACATGGAGGCTGCACTTGTCGCAACTCTCCCTGAAGCCAATGCAAATCCACCACCTCCAGCAGTACAGTTTCATCTGAATCACTAGTTACAAACTTCTTTATACCAGCAGATGCATTTGCAAGCACATCTTTATCCATTTTATTAATAAAGTCTTCCATGGATTTTGAGGGTTTGATTTTAATGGTCTGATCAATTATGGTACCCATTTTGAAAATAATTTTGGCAGACTGATCTATTAAATAAGTTACTGATTCAAATACAATTTCTTCTCAAGATCAAAGTAAAATTCTCTGAGTTCTTTTTCTTTCTCTTCAAATGCTGTGTCAATTTTACCACATTTATGGGTCATGTCCTCAATAAAATTCTCCCATTCAGTCTTTCGAATTTCTTGTTTAGCAATTAATGTGGTATTCTGAAATTGAAAAGAAACACTTACACTCATTATATCAAACCAGAGAGCATTTCTCTATGGCAAAACTTTTATTAAGAATTTTCTTGGACATTTTAGATTAATCAAAGACATTAACTTTTCAAGCAGAATTAAAAATGCAATATATCTAATACACATGTTAGATACTTTCAATGTTCTTGCACTTTTGACCACTACAAACCATTCAAAAAGTATTAAAAGATTATTGACTTCATTACAGGCAGCCCCTATAACACAAAAAAAGTCCCAACAACAAAAAGATGAAAATTTTGATATTTATTGGGTATTCTAAAAAATAATTCAAATGAATAAAAAAAATCAATGCAAATAACCACTTTCTACATTTTACCCATTTATACAGTATTTTTTAAGGTACATCTAAAGGGCATACTGCAATTATAGGTTAATACAGGTGTCCCAATAATTTTAGTAATAAATACATTTAAAAGCCTATGTCTACATGAAACAGAAAAACTAGTATTAATAAGACATTACATGTTCAGACTTCATTAATTTACATTTTTCATTGGAAATTACATGTTAAACCTAAAATTTAGGTTTCATTCCAATAGATATGCAACAAAAAACAATAACAGTTTACCGTAATATAGTCCACTTATAAATTGCTACTTGTACTTTATCTAAAAATAGAATACAATATTCATTTCAACAAAGGTTAGCTGCTATAAAACAATACTATAGTAGGTTTAACTTTAAGATTCCAAATAATATGTCACAACAAAGACCTAAAAAAATGTAGAAGTTACACCACATATACTGTGAAAACACAGGAAAATAAAATTCCAATTTTTAAATGAGAAAAATAGGAAACAACAGAAAAACGTCTCAGGTCAGGATTTGTTTTGAAAGGAAAAATACTTTCTCATACTCACCAGATCCTTTTAATATATTTAATAATAACATTTGTTGAGTCATATATGCAATTACAATCATGAATGACGAGTCAATATGATGTCTTGGGTAGAGAAAGTGAAGTTACATTACTGTCCAGAAGCGAAACAAAGGGTCATCTCAGTATTTGCACAAGGGATCGGGGAAACTGACCAAAAAGCCTGATAGAGATGGGGTCATTGGCCTAGGAATTATACTACAATACTTGTTAGAGATAATATTATACTACACAGTATATTATACTGTATAAATACTGCAAACCTTATAACAATATAAATATATCATTATATATTTATATTATAGTATATTATACAGTAGATAATTATTATTACTAGCAAAATAATTTAACATTTCAAGATTTGAACTGTTATATGTTAAAAGTAAAATTTACTTGTTATTGTCATTTTACTGTTACTATTTATAATAATAATAATAATAATAATAATAATAATAATAATAATATTAATATTAAAATACTGCGAGAACTCAATTATGGTAGCAACTACATATAATTTAAAAATATTAGTACATTCTATGTTTAAATCTTGAAATGGTGAGGTGTAGGGGGCAGGGAATTTAGTATTTGTACACCTAGTTCTACTGTAACACCTAATACATCTAGCAAATCCCAACAATGGAATGGAAGGATGAAGGATACAGAAATTTTGGTCAGGCATTCTTCTACATCGCAAGGCACGATGTATCAATTCTTTTTTCTTTGCTTCAGCTCGAAATAGAAAGTCAAATGGGATAAGAATTTTTATTTATTTATATTTTTCAAGGGAAATATTGTTGTGATTTGAATATTCCTTCACTCTAGAACATGCTGTTAAGCAGAAAAGCATTGAATTTATTTTTAAATGTATGAATTGTGTTTATGTCTTCAATATCATTGCCCAGTTCGCAGTAAAGTGTAATGCCATCTATTAGAGTACTTTTTGATAAAGAGTAGTTTCAAAGTGGGGAACATAGAGGTTATACTTTTCATGAGTGTTGTAGTTGTGTAAATCAGAATTTAGAGTACAATTGTCTTTATTTTACATGAAATTTTTTTTTTTGGGAAGACCACTATTTCAAAAGTATATATACATGGTAGAGGAAGAATCCATAGATTATTGATCAAGAGTTTGCAAGATTCCTACTTATGAGTGCTGGTCATTGTTTACAGTATTCTTTTTGGAAAATACACGAGCAAGTGCTTTCAGGGACATTTCCCCAGAATATTATTCCATATTTACGGTATGAGTGCACATTTGCAAAATACATTGTTCAAAGTGTATCAATGTTGGAGCTTCACCTGAGGGTATACAGAGAAGAGTAAGATTTGGTGAGTTTCTTGTTAAGATTTGAGATGTGAACTTTCCATTTAAGGTTTTCTTGAATTGTTATACTGAGGAAGGTAGTTTCACATGATATTGTTACAGGGTCAATATTTATGAGCAAATGCTACGAGTTTTTCTTCAGATCAGGAATTCTTGAAATTTCAAGCCTCTCTTGTTGGTGTTTATGATTAAAACCTAAACAAATGTTGTTATTGTCTTGAAACCATTTTACTAGTGCATGGAAAGTTTTGTGTGTTTCTTTTTGTAACAATTGTTGTGTTTTTGCTTCAATGATTACGTTTGTGTCATCTGCAAATAAAATTATTTTGTTCTTTTTTATAACTCATGATAACGTGACTTACAACTCATGATCGAGCTTACATGAAATTCACTTTTACTAGATCTGTTGGGATGAAATGGAATTGAAAACCACAAATGAAATGAAAATGAAGGATATTATACCACGAATTACTTAATTTTTTATACGTCAAGAACAAAGTGTACAATAAACTTACACACACAAAAAAAAAATTTTTTTGAAATGGAAGACTAAGCAAAAAGTAAAATTGCATGAAAACTCAAATTTTACCATCAAATTATATCTCTTGGAATGTAATATAGTATTCAAATATGAATAATAGAACTAATAATCATGGATTTAGAAACATTAATCAGATAGCACAAATATTTTTCAATTTTAAGTTGGCATTTAAGAGAAAAGTAGGGTTTATCAATAACGGAAGTAATGATTTAAAAGCACTATTATACTAACCAAGCGGTGATTTTCTTCTTTTTCAAGAATACGATTACACATACTCACAGCCACTTCCAAATTGGCATTGAGAGTGGGTAAATGTATGTCAGACACTAATTTCACTCGTTCAATCTGTGTTTCTTTGATTTCTGTAACATGTTCTAATATCCTAAATAATCTTTCAACTTCTCTATCAGAACGTTTCTCCTTCAAAAATCAGAAATATTACAATAATTTTCAGGAAAGATGTATTGTAATTCAAGAAGGTGACATATCATAAATAGTTATGCTAAGTTACCTCATATTCATTGAGAACAAATTTGATTTCACCACTCAAAAATGGCCGGTGATCAAAAAGACGTGCCCATATCTCCCCGGTATCTGAAATATTAATGCCAATATTGTTTACTTCAACCACTTTATTACAAATATACTGAAATTGGTTCAGATGTTAATCATTATCATTTAAAAAATAATATGGCTGTGTGGACAAATTAATATTTTGCTTCAATAAATTTTCCAATGTTGTCAAACACAATAAATATTAGGAAGTTATCATCTACGATAATCAGAAGTCAGTCTGATGTAAATATTCTCATTTTCCCCCCCATTTCAAATTTTAGCATAGATCAACATAAGTAGTAATTTTCTTGGAATCACCTTTTAGACCAAAGTAACTATGAATATGAATGCCTTAGAAATGCCTCGCACTAAACACTTCTTTGAAAATATCCACATTGCCACTATAAACATTTACAAATTCCTACATAAAAAACTTGTATTTAAACTAATTTTATACATTTTCAAATGAACTCGAACCCAAACAGTCACAGGTTCACAGATAGGCCTGTCAGACTCCCCTGTTTTATATCTCAAGAGATCCTTTTTAAAAACTTATTTCCGCTCTTTGCTGTCCTCTAAAACCCTTTCAACACAATAGGTTAATAATGTAGTTTAAATATAATAGTTAAGAAGTAATATTTTTCTGCAAAATAAAGAAAAGTGATGAGGAAAAGAAATCAAAAACTGAATCAGTATCAAAGCAAACAAAATAAATTTATAAAAAAACAATACAAAAATCAGATCAATTAATGAAACTAATAAAGGTAACTAAAAGTAACGCTCCAAAGTGGAGAAGTTAACTGGTTCTGAATATTTTATCTTTGTTATATGAAGAACCACGGTCATCCAACCTGACAACAACGAAAGAATCTTTCAACCGACACATTTCAGCAGAATTATAAAAATAACTAATTAAAATTTAATGTCAGCTTGAAATTACTCTAAATTCTAATTAACTACTGCTTATACCACGGAAAAACAAACAGTAAATGGAAGTCACATGTAAGCTTCATAGACCTGCACATGATGGAACTGACAGTCACATATATACCTCTCAGACCCCTTATCCATTGAAGAAAAAACTTGCATGCCTGATACTCGGTAATTTGGAACAGATTAGACATCATCAATCGGTCTTCGAGACACCAAATGAGATTTACATGGTGGACCCACAATCCAGAACAGATCAGGAGGGTCAATAATCATTAATGAAAATTCTGTGTTTGTCTAACAAGCCCATCTGTGGTGGCGAAAGTAAAAAAAAAAAAAATCTTATAAAAGTATATCATAGAAATATTATGACGCATAACATTCACAAATGGCATGAAATTTGAAAAATTAACAAGTAATATATTTTTATTTTCATTAGTCACATAAATTAACCAATTACAATATAATTCAAAAGTAAAATTAGAACTTCTGATTCAAATTTCTCCATGACTTCGTAAACATTTTCTGGCTAAATTGCACATGACAAATTCAATAATATCGAAAACAAAAAACAAAAAAAAAAAAACTTTAATTGCGTAAGCCATAAAATAAACATTAGAATGGCAAAACTTCAGAAAAAAATATACGTTTATGAAACTTTAAGAACTGTGAAACGTTTCAAATAGTTTATTCATTACTTTGTGAAAATTATTTTAATATTGCTACAAAAGAGTAAGAAAGAATACAAACACACATTATATAGGTTAAGGACAAAATTCCATTTAATTTCACTGAACATTAGTTCGTGTCCTATTAATTTTATTACACAAGCACGTTAATGTATTCTCATTGATTATGTTTTATCGTAATGCACACCTTTCACAAATGCAACCAAATTTATATCAAAGTACATGTTTGACAAACATCAACGTACCCACCTTTAACCACTGCTGCCATTACTACGAATCCATTCTATGTAAGCTCCATGTAAGGAGATCATATGATTTGGGAGTTGGCTGGTATTACACTGTAAAAGATCTTTATGAAAGATATGACAGTGTAATAGAAAATATTTTATAAACTTTGATAAAATGTGGCCTCAAACTTCCACGTTTTCTCCAAACAACTAGAATATAGAGTAGCTGAAGCTAGAGTATTTAATATAGAATGTGTTTAATGTAGAATAGCTATACATACAGCAGTGGCTGAAGTGTCTTTATCTTTGAAGCAAACTGAAGCCGATTTTTGAAGTCAAAGCTGCGCCCCAGAGATCCGCTGGGAAACAAAAGTATTCTATACTGACCATTGTAGAAATCACGAACATTCTTGAGTAATAATATTGGTTGAAAAATTGTTTATTAATATTATTGGATTGGTGAGTGTGGATAAAGAAACAATTAGTTGTGTCAACGTTTCGAAATATTTAATTTATTCACCGAGGCTAGAATATAAAAGCAAATGAACAGAGTACGAGGACAACAAACGTTTCAATAAATTGATGCTTTAATTAATTAACATTACAAACAACAAAAAAAAACGTTTATAAATTAAGACAAATAAAACACCAAAATATAGAACGTACACACCTTAAAGTGTGATGTTTGTGCAGTGTTAATTAATTAATTAATCAATTTATTGAAATGTTTATTGCCCTCATTCACTGTTCATTCGTTTTTGTACTCTAGCCCTGATGAAGAAATTAAATATTTCGAAACGTTGGCACAACTAATTTTTTCTTTACCCATACTGACCAATCTCGTAAACCAATTTTAGCAATCTATACTGCGATGTATGAAACTCTGTTCGTGGCAGGTCTCAGCTGTTCAGTTTCCACCAATCGGGAGCCTAACGTCACTATGGTGATGGTTAAGCTTCCGATTGGATGAAACTGTCAACAGCTGATACCTGCCAGGGACAGAGTTGCGAAAATCGCAAGTCCGTAAAGTTAGCATACCCACATATCACAATATTGAAAATCTGTATTCCAGAATTTTGTTCTAATTAAAGACTACGCATGATACATAAAAACTAAATGTACCAGAAGTTTGTCCTAATTAAATTCTAATTTATACCCAAATTCGAAAACGTTGAAAATTTGCGCAACATCGAAATATTCAATACTAAAGGTGGGTACTCTAACTTAACGTTAAGTTAGCATACCCACACAAGAAAAACGCATGAAACATAAAAGCTAAATGTACCATAATTTTGTTCTAATTAAGCTATTCGCATGATTGATGAAACTTTACTTCGCGTGGCAGCAAATGTTCTTTCGCATGTTAATGCCTATTTGGTAGCATAGAAATGTTTTCTTCTCACCATATTCTACAGAATGATATTCTCGGAACATTCCATTTAATTTTTGCAGTTCGGATACAGGCATACTGGAAACTTTGTGACGTCATGCTAGAAGGCTTAGATTCCTTTATCTTATACTATTTGCTCTTTCTATGTACACTGTGGTTTGCGCAGACTGACATTTATTTGCATAATTATTCATTCAAAATTCGCTCTCGCAGCAACAATTATAAGTTTAACGTTAAGTTAGTGTTCCTACCTTTAGTGTTGAATACTTCGATGTTGCGCAAATTTTCAAAATTTTCGAATTTGGGTATAAATTAGTCTTTAATTAGGACAAACTTATGGTACATTCAGTTTTTATGTATCATGCGTTTTTCTTGTGTGGGTATGCTAACTTAACGGTAAGTTAGCTTACCCACATTTAGTGTTGAATATTTCGATGTTGTGCATTAGTAGAAAATTTTTAAATTTGGGTATAAATTAGTCTTTAATTAGAACAAAATTCTGGGATACAGTTTTTCAATATTTTGATAAGTGGGTATGCTAACTTTACGGGCATGAAAATTGCAGTGTAGAATTATGATTTGTGCTCGTTACGGACGGTTACACCGCCACTCGTATGTTTTGACTTCAAACATGGCGGTCACTAGTTCGGCGAGTCTCCACGAAGAGCGCTGAAACTATAGGGACAGCCCATAGAGGTGGTAAGAAGACAGCCACTTTATCTATAGAGCGATTTTTATAAGAATGAGTCAAAGTGACAGTTCGGTAAACAACTGAACACCACGTGCAATTCAGAGAAGTATCCCTTCGCCGCACCAGCTGTTCAGACACGCCCCTTCGTAGTGTACGGCTCCCATGAGGACATCACAATACAGAAATTTGAGTTTCGCTGAAGTATTCGCACGTACGCGAGTCCGGGAAATATTGATAATTAATTACGTAGGTGGAAAACTATTTGAACATGCTCTCATATTCACGAAAAGAAAACTTCCACTAATGTAAATAGAAAGAAAAAGGTTTTTCAGGGTACATAGGTGTTGTGGTGAGTTATCGTTGGCATTTCTAACGAAATAATTATATGCGTCGTCATTGCCAACATTATTATTTATTAAAAAAGCAGCTTTCGATGGCTTAGCCATCATTATCAGTTTTCTAGTACAAGAAGAAAAACATTAAAACTTGAATATTATTTTGATTTTACAACAAAATTATAATAAAGGTTACTAATAATTTACACTTTTTTGGAAAATATATTTTATATTCTAAGAACTAAAAGAAAGAAAAAAGTGTGTGGGGGTGGTGGTGAGGTAAGTCATTTAAACTAAAAGAAAGAGAATGAAATAGAATTAGAACACGTAAAATTTTTGAAACAGAATACATGTAAAACATTTTTAATTTACATAATATGTCATGAACTTTCATATTTTTTATTATCATAATACTAATGCAAAAATATAACTTGGTTCAATTGATGAAAATCAAACTTTAAAAGGGCAGTGAAAGTAATGCAGGCAATCTTCTTCCACCCTTGGTGCATGTAGAGCTATTTATTGACTTTTGTATTACTTTGAAACGTTGAAGTAAGGAAGACATAAAGAGTTGCTTGCTAACTGCTGAATATTTTTCACTAATTGTTTCAAAAATATGTTATAATTGATTTCTTATTGGTTTAATATTACTCGAGTATTTAAAGAAATTCACACAAATCTAGTTTATTTATTCATCACAACATTCACTGCAATCTGAAGATTGTGGAAATGGTACAAGACAAAATAAGATTTTATTTTTTGAAAAATTTTTGCTTCTTATCTGAAGCAATGGTAGCAGCGCAATGCATTGACTTTCACACAAATATTACCTTATTTATTCTGCTGTGAAATTTCTTTTACCTCTGCGAATGAAAGTAATTACAGTAAATTTATATTACATTAAATGTAAGAGATGAAATGAAAAATGCCTGGGTATTGTAATTGCACAAACAAAATATCTTTTCTGCTTTCATTAGATTGTTGTCATAAAGCAGTCAGCAAATTTGCACATTCAAAACAATGTAAACTGTATTAACATTGAATATTTGCAGTACTGAAATAATAAGTTTTTATTTCGTGAGAGAATACAATATTTATGACATCCATAACAGTTCAATCATTGATAATTTTCACTGTGGTAATGGATAAAACTATTTATGTACAGGCAAAAACTTTAATTTTATTGGAAGAGTAATTTTTACAGAACAACTCATTATTCATTTCATTTTTTTAATGTTGACTTATATTTGAAGAGTATTGAAAAAAAAGGTAGATAATTTCATGGCAAGTAACACATTGTCTGGATGCAATAATGTGATGTAACATTTTCCAATAATATCTGCTTTTTGGATAGTTTTGATACATTTTTAGTTTTGAACCAAATATCAGACATCATCTTTACGATTACTTAGTTTAAAATATTAATTACAAGGATCACTTTAACATAAATATCAAATGCAAAGACATATAACAGTGTTTTTTCTTACATTTATTTGTTATTTTTTAAACACAAGCAATAACATTTGTATGCATCTTTATTGAGAAATCAAGGGATTGGGAACAGAGTGTGACAGTTATTGTTCTATTGACAATTAAGAGTTTTGTTTTGTAGTTGGTCTTGAATAATTCAAGGGGAAGACATCTCTCAGTAGCAGGACCAGATTAATTTCTTATGGGATTCTATGCAAGATGAAACATTGAGGTTCTCTAACAGGATTCAGCATGTGGTCAAATTAAATATGAATGCACATAAGAGAATATTGATATAACTGAAAATAACAATCCTTATATTTTGTCCAGCAAAACTAAAAAATATATTATCTAAGTTTTGAAGTCTGAAGTATATAGTCTATTACTTTTTGTATCATTAATAAAATAGTAAAACTTATTCAAATATTTATGAAGTATTATAAAATTTTGTTTAAAAATCATTGGGAGTCTCCTATCTATCCAGACCCAAGCATATGCTTAATCTATGTGCAAACTACCCCTGCTCCCCAGTGCAGTATCGACTGAGCAGTCAGTGCCTACATCATTATCCCTGGGATAATGGAAGGGAATTTTGTAAGTAATCACAGAATGAAGTTGTTTTTTTTTTCTATTAGAAGAGCAAGACCGAACAATGGAGAACCCACCAACATGAGCAAAACCGGGATTTTAAAAATATTTTAATTTGAAAACTTAGGTTCAGGCTTTCTTTATCGAGTCTCAGGATAAGTATCATCGAATAAAGGCGAGGCAGTGCAAAATGCTCCATTTGGTAGGATGATGTGTTTTGTCTCCAGTGGAACAATAGAACACGTGTACACAAGATTACATTAATTTGTTTTTTTCTTCCTGTCACACACGTTCGTCCTGTCGTTATTCACTATTTTTTTATGAGAAAATGTTTTTCAACAATAAATACGATGTTTGTTTTCATGTGTGATTTGTAAGAAAAATACTTTCAATGAATCTCCTGCGTAAGGTAGGTATCACAGAATTTAAGAAAACGTGCGGAGAATACACTTCTCTCCGTAGTACGCCACACATAGTTTTAACTGTTTCTGACAATAAATAAATAAATAAATAAAATAAACGTTCAGTGGTATTTATCTAGTTATTTGGCCGCACGCTTCAAATGTATCATTAAAGTACTACACATTTTAAAACATTGTTGCAAATTAACATCAATGTGTATTATAAAGGGTATGTACTATAATATTCCGCCATGAAAGTTATTTCACTGACAATACTGTTGTCAGCCAAAACTGCTGTATTGTCACCTAGCGGCCACTTCCTCTCAAGTGCCTCGATTAAAGACGTCTGTTCCTGCGCGAAACAAGCGAAAATGTAACCATCTTGTTGGAACACCCTCTTTTAACGAATGTTTACATACATGAGAGAAGCAGGAAGAGATGTAGTTTTCCCGAATTCCTCTGAATGTGAGCATTGCTCCATACCCCTCGTGGCATGGGGCGCCATCGTGGAGCTTACCATTACAAAGTCTTCATCGGACCAATTACAGATGACATACGCCGCTGTTGGGGAGTAGCGAACCAAAAGCCCCAAACGCAAGCAAAGGCAGTGCACTCTGCGAGCCACACGACGTTAGAAGACTTTAGGGTCATAAACGGCCTCTCGTAGGACACTTTGAAAACGTCACACAAATGTTTACAAAAATCTGAAAAACGTCATTTAACGACCCTTCATAAACTCAACTCTGTACGAGTCCAATCCCGCGTCCAGTCCCCGCCAGACAGCACAGCGAGTCAGCCGAAGCAGCAACAGGGGCAAAATGTCCAACGTCGGCAATGAACAATCGCACCGAACGGCTAATCTCTTCCTGATCGCTGCATTTAATATTACAGATTAGCCGTAGATACCCGCCAGGCTTGGCGTGTGTTCGCAGTGCCCGGGGCGGGGCGGGGCGGCAGGGTCAGGCCTCGAGGGCGACGGGGCGCTGGGCGCTGCAGGCGGCCGCCGAGGCGGGGGCGGCGTCCGCGGGTGTGACGCGCGCGTGCAACAGGTCCCGCCACACGTTGCGAGCGTCCTGGGGCAGCGCTCTGAAACGGAGCCAAAATGTCATCAGACGCGAAATGAAGGAAGATGGCATTCACCCTTTGACTATAGACGGAATGCTATACCAACTATAGGGAAAGTTATCTAATGCTGCGCGAGAAAAGATTGGGCTGATTTTCGGCAGGAAAGTAAATCATGGCAGAGCCCTGACAACGAAAAATCCAGTTGCTAAATTACGAAAAGAAACCTAACACATGGTGTATCCAGAATCCATGTTTTGAGGGTCCTTGATGCCGAAAAACCAATTGACGGCAACACGTCCGACCTTCTGTCCGTCCATAAAACCCACTTGCGCCTAAACCATAGGTAATATTTTTTTTCCAAATTAAAGAAACCCCTGTCCATCTGACTCGATTCGAGCTTTGAGATTTAAACAAACAAAACAATCTTTAAAATTTGGGATTACTGTACACAAAGTTCCTGTGACATTTTCAATTTTTTTCAAAATCGGCACCAAATTTTTTCTTTAAATTTCTTGTGAGAATACAGTTATAAAGGTGGCATAGGTCCTATATTAACGGTTAACTCTGATTTTTTGAACATTGTGAAAGTTCGCATTTTTCGGCGATCTAGAACTACAAAATTAAAGATAGAATTTTCCTTCAAATGAAATTTGTTATCATAAATTATTTCCTTCATTAAGAACATGTATATTTTTTTGAAAATGTAGTAGTTTTCGGGCAATATTGCGAGGAATATATGCAATTAAAAAAATAACAAAACAAGATTTTCTTAGAAACAGCTTCATTTTTTTAAAATTTTTGGAACGGACAGGGTAACGGTGCTCTATAAGATGACATAAACTTAAAATTTTTCCATTCTTTTGTTTTTTCACATTTAAGAAAATGTAACTGTTATTAATTAACGTCGTTAATATTTACATTAGCGTTGATTTGTTTACAGTATTATATTTATGAGTACATGTGCTTTAAATACTGTCATATATCGTTTCTCGAAAACCCAAGCCATTTCTGTGTAAACTGGCACAAAATTCCGCATTTTCAGAAACGCTCAAACATTATTTTCTTAAAAATGGTTCCAATTTTTTTCTTCAAACATTTCCAACGGATGGTGCTTACTGCACTCATTATAATGACGTAAATTTAATTTTGTTGCTGCTTGAAAACACTTTTGCTGGTTTATATAGTAGTACAATATTGTTTTGGAAGCACCACTAGTTAATTATGGAAGAAATGTGTTTAAAAAACAAATAATGCTGTAAATAATAATAATAATAATAATAATAATAATAATAATAATAATAATAATAATAAATTATTATAATGTTTAGAAAATAAATATTTTGTTAAACTTTTCATAAGAAATGCAGCATTTGCAGTGAAACGCGTTGTTTTTAGCCGTGTAAAAGACACTTGCTTGCAGCGACGAGTGTGGGGCGCACCTGAGCACGTGCAGCCAGAAGAGCAGGTCGCGGGGCACCGTGACGCTCGCCAGCTCCTCCCGCACGGCGCGCACCACCTCGGCCGCCGCCCCCTCCGGCGACAGCTCCGGGACCCTGCGCAGCCGCCCAAGCACGCTCGCCCATCACCATTCAAACCGATGCCTGGCACGTGCGCAATGCGGAACGATCTCGCCTAAACCAACATTTGGCAATCGGGAATGCCAAAACTCGCCGATAGATTTCATCTCCGTCGGATGAGATAAAATACGCAATAGACTATTTGAGGAGAGAAAAAGGACCTTGAAATTTACTATTCCATTTTTGGATCACTGGGTTCTAATGGGTAGTATATTATGCAACTAATTTATAATATTATGGTATTTTGCATGAGTACGTGTCTTGAATGACCAACATGACTTGCATCACCAACTTTAGGAGCAAGATTTCAAATCTCTACGAATGCAATAATTCAACATTATAAATGAGTTGAATGCGTATTTTTTTGTTTAATAGCATTGTAAATTTATAATGGAACCAATAATAATTTGTGGAAACAACATGATTGTGACGTGATATGCCTTTGGCATCTGCGTGAAAAATTGTATTTATTATTATTATTATTATTGTTATTATTATTATTATTAAGGTTTAAGGGCGCTTCAGCAAAAACGTCGACACCTGTGCATTTTTGGCTGTCCAATTACCTCCCCCTGCACCTCGCGATTGGCTGAAAGTGTGATGACCAATTATTCCTACCATAATCTGTAAATAAGTCGCAACCTAAGCCGTAGGATTTTCGTTTTATGAACGATTTCTTGCAACTAGAGTCATTTATAATACTGGAATAAAAAAAAATAGGCAGGAATATCAGCTCTCTTATTGAATCGGGACTCCGTTATTGTCAAATGAAATTTGGGTTCTTCTAAACTTTTATGTTTTAATTGCCTTGATATTTTTTTGTTGTAACATATTGAAGTTCTTTATTATGAAGCTAGTGAATAATCCACATGGGTTATTTTTTAGGTCACTTTTTAATAACTTGGTCATATAGCAACCGCTGAGACTGTTTTAACTGTAGGGGGAACTGTAGAAACAAAACGTAGATCACGAACACACATAAACATATATGCCCAAGGCGAGATTCGATCCCGCGACCCTTCTAGCTGAGGCAGTAACGGCCCTTCAGCCTTAGCGATCTCGTCTATCCAGATCGGAATCTCATGGGTTATTGGTAATCTGGAAATGCGTGAATCGTTTTATTGGGAAGGTAATTACAAAGACATGATATGAATTTGAGCCTTACTGAATCTAGGAAACAATTCTTAAGATCCACGCTGAAGTTGGCATTCAAAGGGAGTCTCGTTCGAGAAGACGAATAAAAAAAACCGAATGTAAAATACAAAAGAATACAGTATCCTAAAAAATGTTCAATGATTTATGTTATTTTGAGAAATTATTGAGGCAAGAGCGATTGCTGTTTATCGAACAAAGGTGTCAAGGTAATACAAAAACAAAATATTTAATTCAATTATTATTCAACAAATATTACTGAACACTGAAAAAGATTAATAGATAATTATTATGCAATTCAAGTTACTTACTACTAATTTACTTTCCAAAGAATCATAAGTACCTCAAATGTAGATCTTCAGGGAGGTCTGGCCTTGTGTGAATGAAGTAAGGATGTACACAAGTAACTTTTATATTGTGTTTGTTTAGATGCAGTTCTTCTCCCAGTGCGTCCATCAGTCCTGTGATTTAAGAAATAATAACAAAACATTAGATTCAAAGCTTTGTACTATTATGTTAAATAACATTTCTATGGAGTTGACATACACACTAAATGGCATAATCAGTTTTACGAAAGGGACGGAAACACAGCCACATATTACAAAAATCGCTTTACAAGAAGGAATAGCTCTTATTATTTTATTCGAGCAATCCGTTATGATTCACTGATTGCGCGATTGAAACTAAAGCTTTGACCGAGATTAGGTTATCCTTCGAGTCTCGACTTTGTCGGATTTTGGACATCAGTTACGTAGCAGTGTGACGATGCCAATGCCCGAATGACAGGAACTAGCTACTCTGATCAGATGTTAAGGAGGATGCCAGAGCAGTTTCTTACAGTTCGTCTGCTTTACATGGTCCTCTCCCTGTCCTTATTGTGTAGAGAAACTGGATACAAAAATTAATTGTTGCTTTTAAATTGTACTGTTTTGGTATCGAAAGTGTATGAACAACAAAACAGCGTTTAACGTGGTCATTTACTTTTCTGCACGTAAACGAGATGAAAATATTTCCCTCGGGCGTGGGCAGACGCGCTGAAGCCTAAGTAGTTAACCACCTTACTCTTTGTAACAAAATTTCGTAGTGAAATTCTTTGTTTCACAACTCTCTGGTCACTTTCCCGCATATATTCACAACCCTCACATACGGAACGAGTAAAACGTTTCATTTTCTATGTAGTTTACGTTGATTCTGGTCTATTCGTTTCCATACAGAAGACTAGGAGACGAAAAAGGACAGAGGAAAATAGGCTTTAAACAACGGACCAGAATCGCGCGTAACCCTCCCTTCCCCATAGTGGCCACTCTTTCCAATGGGTATCCAGTGCGCCCATGTGCCCCCTTCCCAACGCAACCCATGATGTTGACCTTGACCTTGCTCATTGGGAACACAAAGTTCTCGCACCATGGGAGAAGGAAGATCACCCAGGAGGCTGGCTTCACTTGTGCTTACCAGCAACGGCCAACTTGCTGGCGGAGTAAGGCACTTTGGCGAGGCCGGTGAGGCCCGCCATGCTGGAGATGGCCACCACGTGACCACTGTCCCGGGCCACCATGTGCGGTAGGAACGCCAGCAGCATCTGCGGAGCAACCACGCTGCATGAACTGAGCATTCATTCTTCGATGTCGTTGCCTTAATGGTTATACAGAAATATGAAAATAAATGTTATAGAAAATTAGAGAATGTAGAGGGGTCGAAAATGATACATATTTGCCAATGAACATGTGGGTGAACATTTGATATAACGAAGTTCTATATGTGGTATTTGCCCCTTGTTGTACACATCTTGGACGGATGTTGGCAAGTGCAAAAAATCTATTTGCGTAAGAATGCGAACCTGCCAGACACCAGTGAACCTTGGGACGCGTATCTATCGAGGCAAATTTTACATGTGTAAGTTCGTTATATTTTCCATCACATTTTCATTGGCAACTCACTACTGGTGCCTTCGCTTCAAAATCAATTTTGAATAAGGTCTTAAAGAAAATTACTATTGTAAAGTATAAATATTAATCATTAAAATCTGGTCATCATCATTTATAAATCATTAAAAATACATATTGGGACCAGTCCGATGAGAGGGTTAAGTTGGCCGAAAAAACAAAATATAAATCATTATTATTTCTCATAGCTGACAGGTGCCACAGGCTTGCTTTCGCTTTTAATTTTTTACTTAAGATTGCATCGTACAAGTATGAACGCCGCACTTTCTCCATCGCGCGAATGCGTGCGTGCGTTCGTGGTAGATTATTTCGTGTTTCCTGTGTTGATATCTTCTTCGGCCGTTCGTATAAGTGTGTTACATTTTTATCACGGAAAATGGTGGTCAGTGGTATCAAACTCGGCTGGATGGCGAGATTCGGCGCCGGCATACACGTCGACATGGGGATTTCCCCCATCCCGGTATCTCCCACCTGCACCGACCTAGCTGGTCTAAGCTCCCGAATGGTAGATCGACATGTGATAGTGTAGAATAGGTAAGTGTGTGTACGTAAGGGGTAGGTGTAGGACAGGAAGAGATCGAGAGGTGCTGATCGGCGAAACCACAGTAATGTGTGAGTGGGGGGCTCACCCAGAAATGCGAGAGCAGGTTGCCGTTGACGGCGTCGACCACGTGCTGCGAGGGCTGCGCGGGCACGGCGCCCGCGTTGCTGACGAGCACGTCGACGCGGCCCACGTCGGCCAGCACGGAGGCCGCCAGGCGCCGCACCTGCGCCGCGTCCGACACGTCGCACGGGTACGCCCGCGCCCGCGCCCGCGCCCGCTGCAGAGGGCACACCACACGCGCTCAGCGCCAGGCCACAACAGCAGCGCGGACGTGTAGATACGTGGCTGTCCGGGCAGCGCATGCTCAAGCACAGCTGCCACCGGTTTGGCCGTCATACAACGACCTCCCATATTCACGCAATTTCACCCGAGGAAGGTGGCAGTATGACGCTCTTAATATTGGGAACTGTGCCTTAGTCGCTTAGATGTTTTCCTGACAGCCAAGTTTCTATTCACTTCGTCCGAGGCAGCCTATGCTTTTAATAGTAATGATAGTAATACTGGTGATAACGCTGATGATAATAATAATAATAATAATAATAATAATAATAGTTGTAACATATTAATTATATTAACAGTAATACGTTTAGTAATAATGACTGAATTTGGTGGTTATTCATCATACAACATTTCTGGAACTTAACGCGTTTAACAACTTTTCACATGGTACTCATTCACTACAGCATTCAATAATTAAAAATTGTTAACAGTAGTGAAATGTGGCTTCAGACAGACTTTTGTTTATGTATTACAGCCTCCCAGCTACATTTGGCATCTCACATTGACAGTGCATACATTATACACTAAAGTTATCATTTATCTTAGTTAATTTATACGATATTTGCCATTTATATTGTTATGTGCATTAAACATTTGTATATATCTAAACATCAATAATAAAATTATAGTTTTGACTAATGAGTTTTATACTTTACAATTTACGTTTTTGCCTATTAAGAAAGACGTCCGTTATACTTATATACTAAATATTATACATTACAATATACAATATAATTACACTGCAAATAATACAAAATAATAGTAATAATGACGAGGCCTACAACTACCGAGGCTTTTAGCAGGTCACAGATATCTGATGCCAATAAGTTAAGACCTTCGCCTCCGCGGAATACAAACAAGTTGTAAACTTTCCCAATGTTCAATGATGGAAATTTCATCCAGTAGATAAACACCTATGCTGTGCTGATGATCAGGTACTTTTGGAATAACAGATTGGAAGCAAGCAGTGCTGGATAATTTGTTTCACCAAAACACCAAACAAATGACAGGACCTCTCGCTCTCCACTCTCGCAGTGATGTTGACAGACGACCTCGCCTGCAGATCTGGAAGCCTTGAGATGAGAGACGGTACAAATGGAGAAGCAAGCACAAGCAGAGTACGTAAAAAATTCAAGCATGCGGCACGAAGTAAAGAAGTAAACTAAACCTACCCAACTGACAGAGAGAAGGAACAACGGGGACGCCGAATAAATTGGTGAGACTCACCATTTCACGAACAGACTGCTCGGAGCATGGACGTGGTCGTCTCGCTCTCGCTTGGAGATGTCTGCGGCTCTCGTCAGCGAGAGACCGAGCAGCTGGTCCTAGGGGTCGAGAGCGTACAAAAGCTCTGTCATGGCGTCGCTAGCCGCAGGAGGCGTGACGGAGCCTCCCCCTCCGCCCCCGAGCAGGGGCCGCCTGCAGCGATATCTGCAACGTCGTTCTCCGGCTTTGCTCTCCAGCTACCCTCTTGACGGCGACGGAGCTGATGTTCACGCATTCCAAAGAGAGTCGTTGCTTGGCTTTTCAACGGTCGCCCAGATACACTCACGGATGTACAAGTCGAAGCCATATCAACAGAAATGTAAAATCTCGAAAACGCCGCACAGCACCAAATCGAAGATCTACACCTAGGAGCTCACAAACTCTCTCTTCCGAGCGAGACAAATTCCAAAACAAGATCCCTTTGTGGCAAATGTACGTGAGGAAAAGGGAAGAAATGTCATTTATCCCACAGCCATTCCACCAGGCAGGATAAACAGAGATGCGAGCCTTCAAAACTAGGGTTCGGAACGGTCGTCAAGGCTGTCGGGTCGCTTTGCCCCCTCCCTCCCGGCCCCTCAGACGGAGACGTTGGTCCCTTTTCGCTCATGCGCAGTCCACAAGAGGTTCAAGTGTAGCGATTCAAGCGCAATTAGGTCTCGCGCGCATCCTCTGGGATTCTCCGGTTCTTTAGCAGGATGCGCAGGCAGAGAAATGCCAATCAAAGGATTCATATTTTTTCAACTAATATAATAATAATAATAATAATAATAATAAGAAGAAGAAGAAGAAGAAGAAGAAGAAGAAGAAGAAGAAGAAGAAAAGTAATGATACAGTCCTGGAATCAAGTTTCACCCTTTTGTACTGGGACAGACCAGTTCTAAATAACCGTACAGTTGATCACAAGATCAGGTATTCTCCTTATGATAAAAACAAAAAAGAGTAATAATAGATATTGCAATACCATCATCCCACAACATCAAACAGAAAGAAATGGGAACAATTGAGAACTTATCTTATGAACTAAGACATATTTGGAAATTAAATGATGCCAAAATATACCTTATCGTGATATCGGCGGAAGGCCTTTTTAGTAACAGCTTCTTAAAAAACTTAACAGAACTTCAACTACCCAAAAACGTTCTAAACATGTGACAGCGCGCAGTTTTAAAGAATATAAAGAATGTTATCTTTCTGAGCACAGTAAAAATGATCAGGAAATTTGTATTTATACTCATCTGTACAAAAATGATCCCTAACTACAGCTATTTTTTAATTGTAGATTCCTATATTGATTCAGAAAAATTACATTGAGCAGATAGCCTAACATGTTTGTATCCTTACAAAACATGTGCAAACCATCTGGGCACGTCCACAGTAATTGTAATAAGTAAATACTTTTTTCCGAAAGTGACCTTGTGGCTAGAAAACAATTAAAAGAGAGGCTAAAATAAAACGTCTGTAGTTAAATTGAGCCACATCTGAGAAAAGTATTCAATAATAAATATGACAGACGCAAATTAAGAAAAAGGAGTATGCGAATACTCCTTTTACAGGTGGATTCAATCCCGCAATGGTCAAATTAAACGATCATGATTTTTAGGAAAGAAAGCCTTAACATTATATTACCTTTCGTTCATTATAACAGTTCACAGCGCGGTAGGGATAGCTTATATGACCAGGATTAATGATAGTTTTTCCTGCCAATAGTGTTGGTAACAAATAATTGCATTTTACAATGGATATGGAATTACTAACTAAATAATGACCTTTGTTAAAAACTAGTCTAACAATATTTAAAGTCTTTCTGAACAAAATGGTACACATGTTTATTCTTTTTTATTTGAGAGTTTTTGCTCTCATAAGTAAATTAGTGTTTGTGACAAGATTTTGTTTCTTTTTGTGATTATAGTCAACCTATATTACATTTAGGAGTGTGTATAATTATGTAATATTGTTTTCTTTTTATTACACTGATTTGTTGTAAAGAGTGTTTTTCCTTTTCTGTTAATAGTAACCTACTAAATAACCCCTTCCCACGAGTACAAATATATTTTTTGCAACCCTGAGTAACCAGTGAATATTTTCATTAAATACTAAATTATGTGAGATCCAGTTACAGGTTTCAGTAATAGATTCATACTCTCCCACATAAGACAGCATCGCGAACATCACCTCAAAATCAATTTCTGGACCCGGTGGATTAATTTATTATTTACAAAATAATGATAAGTAATAGTAGTAGAGATAGAAATTGATTACGTTAACGCCCAGTACAAGCAACATTGTTATTTTACCAAATACTTACTAAAAGCAATAGTTGAAGAATTAATCTAAAGGTTACAGTCTCCTAAGTGAGGGGGCAAAGACAAATAGAAATTATTATTATTAAATAACCCATACGAAAGCGGTCTCAGAGGTGAACATGTGTGGTGTCGAGGTATGTGGAGTATTATTAAATAAAGATAAGCAATTAATCCACCGAAATCGGTCACAAATAATCTACTAAATAAGAGCAAATTAACGCATGTTCCACAAAAACGTATTTATCACTAGTGCAATTGCTCCCATAATTTGTTTCTGAAAAATACGCGTGGGCTGCAATTCAAAATGTTATCCTCAAATGCAGTGGCTCTATCAGAATGTTTATAAAAGGGGATTTTAGGTTTTCAGATGGCTTTAATGATTTCTTAAAAATAATATTTAATTTCCGAAGAATTTAAAATGCATTTTTAGTTGTTGATTTACAGTTATTTACTTTTTCAATAGAGAGTCACTATGGTCAATTCGCAAAAATTATTTGCAAATATGGGTCGGGAGAATACTATTCTGAGGAGGGCCTAAAACCTCATAATCTTTGCATCACGCCAAAATGTGTTGATTTTTAACGCAATTTAGATCAGTTGTACGAGTTTGTGTTGTTTTTCATACTTTCTCCAATAACGGAACTCCTGTCAGGCCGCGTGTGGGAGGCATAGCATATACTGTTTCGCAAGTGGCAATTTCACAACTGGTAGGGGCACTTTTTGCTGGTGGCTGGGAAGGGGTACCTCGTTTTCAACCGGTACCTCGGGCAGCAGCAAGTTTTTTCGCGGGCACTTACTAAATACGCCGTGGAGGAGCTGGAAAGCCGTGTAATGATTTAAATGTTCTATCATAAACGTTTGTAATGAGAAGAGACAGCACACAAAAAAGCTTCCGGGAAAGTAGAAACCTTTTCAAAATCTTAAGGTTTATTATTTTCCGGTCGGGTCAAAACTGGTGTATTCTAACACAAATCGCCTCATTTTCTTTAGCTGTTGACGAAAGAAGGCTCAAGCAGACCAAATAAGGTGGAGGCAGTGTTGGGAACACGCCACGCTCTCCCCACGTCTCTCTTACCCATCAGCGTGGATGAAATAGAAAAACACAGCCTAGGCCTGAAAACTCCGCTAGCTGGCAAACGTCCTTAGAACTAATCTTATTCTAAACTACAGCACAGGCAATCTCTGCAAGGCCCGCCGACCCTGTTAGCTGCAGTCGCGAAAGCAGTCGCTAGTGCTGAAGGAAGCGCGAAATGTGGTCACAGGCTGTAGTCCTCCGCAGTCATGGGCGTTTTCACTCTCGCATGGTTGGATATCCGACCGTTCATGCATCACCTTTCCTCCCGTTTGCTGCCATTCCCGGGCAGACCTGGTGCCAGAGGGGCTCGCGCGTGACGCAAGTTCCCGACACATCCTCGTCAGCCTTGATCCCCACATGTGTTTGCCACTGGAGTTGCTTATCACCGGAGTTACTTACTACCGACTACGCGGAAAAGTCGTAGAACTAATCCGCGAATGGCATCTTTTCTCAGGAAAAGCGAAGCGTTTTCAGACTCACAACGCGGCTTTAGAACATCAAAACCTATGGAAACTGTCATTTTCTCTTTTCTTAAAGATGTTGCTTCATCAATGGATCAAAATGAAGCACCCATTGGACATTTTTAGATCTTTCGAAAGCTTTTGACGTCATTGACCATAACATCTTGGAATCGAAATTACCTTCTTATGGAATTCGTGGTATCACCCTACATTGGATATCCTCGTACCTTAAACATCGATCTCAAAGGGTAGAAATACCGTCCTGGCACGAAAGAACATTATTTACATATCTTTCCAATTCTTTACCAAGTGAATATGGGGTCCCGCAAGGCTCGATCTTAGGTTCTATCCTATTTCTGTTACACGTAAACGATATGCCGTCGACTATTAAAAACGGAAGAACGGTTCTATTTGCCGACGACACGAATGCTCTTTGTAAAAAAAAAACACAATAAATAGTACGATTTCAGAAGTTTCAAATTGGTTTTGTAATAACAAATTAATAGTCAACGAAGGAAAAACAGTTTTAATGGATTTTTGCTTTCAAATCAGCAATCGCATGCTCCATTAAAAATGAACAATATGCAATCAGCTGATGTTCAGATAACAAAATTTCTAGGTTTCTCAATTCAGTCAAACCTCAAATGGAATGTTCGTATAACAAAAACTAAATTAAGTGCATTACGCATTTAAAATTCTTTCAAATTCTGTCAGCCTTCATGCAGCTCGTTGCGTGTATTTTGCAAATGCGTATTCCTGCCTGAGATGTGGCATAATTTTCTGGAGAAGCTCATCATCTACTAGTACCCAGACCTTCAGATTGCAAAAGAAAATTATTCGACTAATGAAAAAATGCCATCCGAGAGATCCCTGCAAGTCTCTCTTCATTGAGCTTGAAATCTTACCATTGCCTTGCCTATTTATTTACAAATCTGTAATATTTGTCAAAACTGACTTATTTAACGATGGAAACATTTCATGCAATATTGATATTTATAATTACAACACACGTCGTGAATTCACGTACATCAAGTGTGTGTATCAACAGCTCACTAGCAGAAATCCACATAAATTACTTCACAACCCATTGCCAGATGGCATTAAATAATTGGAGTCGGTACACAAATTTAAGTTAAAAGTAAAATATGTTCTTCTGCTTAACTGTTTCTATACAATTAGAGACTACACTGATTACCAAAAAGAAAAATAATGTGTATTTTAACAAAACAGTGATATATATATATATTAGTTTACATTTGTATTGCATACATTTTTTAAAAAGACAATATGATTGTAACAAATAATGTGCTTCAGCTTCCGGGTCAATGACCCATCTCTTTCAGGTTTTTGTCCAGTTTCCTGATCTGGTCCATTGAGCAAATGCTGTGATGGCCCCTTGTTTTGCGAAAATGTACGTAAAGGTAGCTTCACTATGCGCACCTTTTGTTGAACTCTCCTTTTGCTTGTGATGGTAGAAGAAGAGGTAAGGGCGAGTTACTATTTTGTTAACAATGGGGAAATACCATTAAAATCATAAACATGTAGTAAGAAAAATGTCACAATTGAGAAGGCGACAGAATAAGAAATAGCGTTGAATTACAAATATTAAAAACATAAGATCGTTACTTGTGAATAATCACCTATCATGAACCCAATGGTCTCTTTGAGCCACTTCCCACTTGTGGCGATTTGAAAGCTCAAGCAAGTACAAATAGGTAAAGGATTGCATCTTGTGTCCTGCGCACTCACCGAGGCGTTGATGGCGAGCGCCGTCGCCTCGTTGCCGGCCGCATCCACGTCCACGCACAGCACCACGCAGCCGCTCGCGGCGAATCGCAGCGCCAGCGCGCGGCCCAGCCCGCGGCCCGCGCCCGTCACCTGCGCACCGCGCGTCTCAGCCGCTGCCTTCGCTCTAAACGGCTTCAGGCTACATTCAAACTATTTTCCCAGAAAAGTGAATTGACTCACAATGTACATTTGGAGGTTTTTGAATCAAGAAAACCTTAACAATGCTATTGATTGTTGCTATTTGTTTATATTAATTTAGGGACTTTTTAAAAATATTTATTTGCTACCTGTTTAATTGCATCACAATTTTTCAGGGAGTTGAATATAACATAATGTACATAACGTAGAGAGCAAGGTGCCAGCGTTTAATTGACAGGTAAATAGTTGCAGATAATAAAAGTGCTATTACTAACTTTAATTATGTAATTACAAAATAATTATGAAAAACGAAACTGAAAACCGAAACCAAGTTATAATTTACGATGGAGGAAAAACATCTTTTGGAAAACGTGATCGAATTCAACGATGAGGAACATAGTTTTGAACTTATATGATTAATATAAAGTTTTAAAAAATGGGTGCAGTTAATAATTTGTTGTAGACTTTTTTTTAGTGAGGTAAAGTGTAAACGATTTGAAAGTATCAATTTTAAGTTCCCTAATAGTTTGTTTATTTGATATAAACCAGGGAGAATGTAAATTTTCTTTATTATTTGAAATTTATTACGATTGGTAGTAGAGACATTACACCAAATAGGGTAGGCATATGAAGAGGAGGCTTGATAACAAAATTCCTCAATTAATTCGTGATTTGGAGTTTTATTGATTAAAGGATATATATATTTTTTTTTAGATTTTATGATATGTTTTGTTAATTGTAATTTGAATGTGAGATTTCCATGTAAGTCTTCTCCTAAATGTGTTCGTAATACTCCGTGGCCCGTTCGCCAGGGCACAGCTCCGGCACTGGAACCGGCCGCCGGAAGAGGGCGCAGCTCACCAGCACGACGCGCCCGTCGAGGCGCTTGGGGCGGCCGGGGCAGAGGCGGCGCGCGAGGGCTGTGCAGATGACGGCGACGGCGCGCAGCAGCGCCACGCCCACCGCCAGCGCCCCCGCCAGCGCCCCCGCCAGCGCGCGTCCCCTGCGCACACACCGCGCGTCAACGACCAACGGCGATTGCCAAGGGCCAATGCTCCCGCAAGGGCGGTGCATCTATTTATGGAGGGAGCGGGCGGTGATCTCTCCCCGTGAGATGGTGAGATTCTGCGCCGGCCGTACACGTAGCGGTACACGTCCGCTTTCCCCAACCAAGACTCTCCCCCTAGCGGCGCAGCCAGCACACGCTCTACATTCCCGACTGATCTCCAGACATGTGAGATTTGTGTAGTAATGCAAGTCTAAATGTAAGTTAAAGAGTATGTAAATAAGGTGAAGGAAAAGGAAAAGTCATTGGTCTGTTATGGTACTGCTCTGGCAGTGTTGATAGGCGAAACTACAGAATACTACGCATGAGAGCAATCGGCTGATCTAGATTCTCCTCCAGGCAGCGCCTAAAATCTGCCTAGCTAGTGTCGAAAATCCTGTCACTGTCTGGACTCGAACCCTACAACCTCCAGGCACTGCAGTGATATCAAACCGGTACCACCTGTGCATAGCAGACATTATGGCATGAGCTCTCGTTAAAATGTTAATAATGATACAAAATTACAGAAGCATGGGATTACCCGCACAGAATCAACCTCTTGGTGAATCCAACAGATGTGCGTTTCGGCTCGCACGCTTCACCAGAACCACACAACAGAGCGTCAGTATTACGGCATGAGGACTTGACGTTCAATCCTAAGGCAACCCTCAAATCAATGACCTGTTCACGCTCCAAAGCGACACAAATTCTGGCAATTCCAAGCATAAATAACGCACGCAAAAAATCCTTCTAGTGCAATCTGTCTTCCTTCATTGTGCAAAGTTAAGGAAATGAAATGAAAATTCGTTTGTGGGATTCACACAACTATAAGTATTGATGAAAAACCTACAAAAATATAATCTCGTTGTTGTTGGTTGTCTATTGTATTTTGAAAATTTCCACCCATTGATTTATGAACCCATGAAGATAATGCAATATAAATGACTGCTCACCACTGCAAACCTTTACAATACATGACATGGAATACAAACGTGACAGTCAAATACGATTGGTCGTAAATCAATAGCAATGAGATCTTCAAACAAGGTATTATAACAAATTTTACTAAAATTGACATTGTAAATTAGTCTCCATAGACGATTAAAAATACCGAGAATGATCGTCGTAAACTACGAACTCAATTAGAGTGCCTTGCCGTTCTTGAGCCGGCCAAGGTCGCTAAGGCTGCAGGGCCGTAGCGGCCTCGCGCCTCAAGGGTCGCTAGTTCGAATGCCACCCGGGGAATGGATATTCCTGTTTGTATGCATTGTGACGATACCCCACCTCTCTCTCAACGTATTTTTACTCCTAATTTAATTTTTTTTTTTTTTGGCCAGCTCCATTTTAGTGTAATGATTGGGCGTTTCTACCCACGCTCTTAGGGCTGCATCTGCTTCGTTCTTGTGTGCTGAAAATCACCGCGAGGCTACTTCTAGTGAATACCTTTATTTATGATAGAAATTAATTGATCTGGTGGTTTCTAGTTTTTAAATGATAACTGCGTTAATGAATCGATATTACAGCGGCAAGAAGTGTCGACTGCCAATAATTCTTTTATTTATGAATTTTCTTCTTTTCTAATTCCACATTAACAAATGTAATCTTATAATACTATCCCCTTCTACCTAAGATGGCCATTGTAATTTTATTTGAATTAACTTTTAAAACTTGTTTCATTTAACATAACTACTATTGACATTCTTGGCCATGGACATAGAATATTTTTTCAGTCTTTCTGAAACTTCTTAAGTGCTACACTTTCCGGCTCGTAGGTGATCTGCTGTCTTGGCGGAAAGACGAGTATTCCATTCTCCATTATCCACTTATGTTTCCCTAACGTTTTGGGTCGTTCTCCCACCATTTCTTGCGATATCCCTCACTCATGTTTTTATCACGTTTTAAATGTCCGCGTTTTACTCAACTTAATTTGTTGACGTATGTCCAAGCATCCCGTGACCTAATATTGGCGTCTACTACAACACGTTCTGAAGAAATTTTTAAAAGTTTTCGTATCCCTCGGAACATAGCCGGCTCCGATCAAGTCACATTACGTTCCGTCTGTGCCCACACATCTAACTGTTCATCCTCCCACAGCTTCTTTGGTTTCTCTTTGTTATTTGCCGTTTCAATACTATTTTATCATCGTTTCTCTTGCTCATCTGTGTTCACTTGTCTTAAAAAACATTGTCTTATGTAAATATTTCTAAAATAAAAATTATTATCCTATTATTCAAAATATCACGTCAAAATGAATTATATTCACAATATTCTAAACATATTTCGTCAACCTTATTTTAATTTTATTTTCAAAAAATCATTAAAGGTATTTTGATCCTTCTCAGTATACAGTATGCCAATTCCTCTACCGTTATCCCCAAAGTTAAAAAAGTAATTACAGTGGTTATAATTACCATTGGATTTCAATAGTGAGCAGTCATTGAAGTAGTTGAAAAGCGACCTTAATCTAGAGGCGGTACAACCGCACATACTTTCTCGTGATATTGCTCATAGCTATGAAGTTATATGACAATTTCACTCATTCACTTTAATTACCATATGAAAAATTCTTAACCATCGTACTATATCGGCTTTTTTATATCAAGTAGTTTTGTAGTAGTAAACCTGGAGTTTTTGCGGTCTTTCAGCTTCACTAATATTTAGAAGTGGTAAACATAAATATGTACAACAATATATAGGATGTAAAAATTTATTTATATAAGAATACCTTTTCTTAGTTATTTTAATAACACAACAAATGTAATTTATTCATGTTAAATATTTCATAAAAAGTATAACCTACCATTTACGTAGCTTCCATTTCATTAAGATTCATAATGTTTGAGAAATATTTATTAGTTTTTAAGAAAGTTGTTCGAGATACAACAAATATGAGACGAAAATTGACAGTACCAGACACAATTTTTGAAGTTCATGACAATACGTTTGAAATGAGAATGGCAAAATTAAACACTATACATTAGGTCAAACAGGTGACATGTAACCAAAAAAATTGATAACTCTTTAATACATTTTTGAAAAATATGTGAAAATGATTTGAAACCTAATGCCCGAAAACATATCTCAGAAATTGAAATTGCCCTCCAAATATTCAGGAAAATATTAACAAATTAATGATCATGGGGGTCAAAAAGACCGCAAATTGGTATGAGACGAAGCGTGAAACAAGCATATATTTTTGAAATTCAAATGTTTACACGAAAACAGATTTCTGCCAAAGAATTCAGTGTATCCACGTTCTACATAACTGCATCAACGATGCGAGATGCGTATTATAGCGGTCAATAAAATTATTAGTTTATATTAACGAACAACTGCGGCCAGGCGTTACAACAATGTGCTGCAACAAGCAACAAAGACCGCTAATTCGTATGGGTAACATTTTATAATTTAGCATTGTTGATACCCCTGGAACTGAAACTGATACAAAATTATCATAATGGAATATATTGTTATATTCATCAAACTACTCAGTTTCTACGCGCGTCTTCATTCCCACACATTATTATGCAAAGCGAAATCATCTATTAGTTTTCACATGTAAATCAATTAAAGATCTTAATTTAAAATAGATTTTAAATAAATTATAACAAAAACGTAAACAAAAGGTCGCATGTAAGAAACGAATGTGAAATAATATACAAAATATGAAATAATATACAAAATCTAACTTACGAAGCATCCTGCTGGAATTACCTACACTATGTGATCAAAAGTCTCCTGATTCGTCCAAAATGGTATTATGGTGTGGTTGTGTTTTTTTATGGAGGGGGCTTGCATACCTTGTTATGTGTGGCACAACTGTGGCTTACCACAGTTGAAGAGCAATTCGGTGATGGCGATTGCATCTTTCAACACGATCGAGCAACTGTTCATACGGCACGGCCTATGGCGGAGTTGTTACCCGACAATAACGTCCCTGTAACGGACTGGCCTGCACAGAGTCCTGCCTTGAATCCTATCGAACAGCTTTGAGATCTTTTGGAACGCCGACTTCATGCCCGGCCTCACCGACAGACATCGAGGCCTCTCCTCAGTGCAACACTCCGTGAAGAATTAGCTGCAATTCCCCAAGAACCTTCCAACACCTGATTGAGAGTCTGCCTGCGAGAGTGGAAGCTGTCATCAAGGCTAAGGCTGGGCCAACACCCTATTGAATTCCTTCATTACAGATGAGGGCGCCACAAACTGATAAGTCAATTTCAGCCACGTGTCCGGATGCTTTAGGTCACTTAGTGTATATTATGTAAACGGAGCTCAGTCAATTGGTTGCGAGCTATTATATTAGTCACAAAGGTACACAAAAAATACATTTTCAAAAAAATCAACATGATCTTATTTGAAGATCTCTTTTTATGAACACATTTAATTAAAAAAAAGAATTGAATCTTCACATTTGTAGTTGTGTGAAGACGCCGTATTCTTTAAAACCATGGTTTTAGTCAAAAATGACTTACTTAAGGGCGAAAATACATTTCCAACAAATGTCGATATCTATAACCACAACACTCGACGTAGTAATCATGTTTATCAGGTGACAGTATCAACAGCTCACTACAAACAATTCACATATAATGCATGTACATTATTTTACAACACCTTGCCAGATGACATTAAACGATTAAATTCGATACAAAAGTTTAAGTGCCAAGTAAAATCTTTTCTCCTGCACAACTGTTTCTATACAATTAGAGACTATACCGAGCATCCAAAAGGAAAGTAATATTAATTTTAACAATGACATTTAATGTATTATTTACCATTTGGATTGTATAATTCTAAATAAAATGTAACAAGTATTGTATTTCAGCTTCAGGGTCAATGACCCCCCATCTCAATCAGTTTTTCGTCCCGTTTCCCTGATCCTTGAGCAAATGCTGAGATGGCCCCTTGTCTTCCTTCTGGACATAACTGTAACTTCAAATTAACTTCCCATTAATGTTATTTGTAACATTGAATCTATAAATCTGAACCACTTTGACACCATTAATTTCCATAGAATCAATGCAACATTACTTTAGCATAAACATATATGAGCATAGCACGTAGTAATGAATAATTTTCTCAAAACGAACTAACTCTACAAAGATGCACAATAATTTTTACACGACTTTCTTTAATAGAATAGTTTAGAGTACCTTAACGTAGTATTTATATTTCAAAAAACATGTATATTTTTTTTTTCATATATAAAAAAAATGTTGCGTTCCTGTAACAGTAGAATGCAAATATAACTTCAAGGATATCTTAGAATAGTAAATCCTTCTGTATGCAAATTTTCATTGGAAAATTTTGAGATGTTTTTGAGAAAATCCTCATGCTCAAAATTCCTCATATTTCACGGAAAATTACGAGAAAACAACTAATATTTTCAAGCAGATGTACATGATATTAATTTCAGTATTAATTCTGAACAAATTTCATTTCACGAAAAAAAATTTCGATTATGTAGTTGAATGAGGGAGTCCAAAAATAATTTGTATGCTCTACTTAGGTGTATTTTGTTCTGCATTCTTACACGAAATAGAAAGAAAAAAATAGGATCCATTTCTGAGAAAATGTTGATAGTATTTCAAAGACTTCATATAAAGTACCCCTAAAATTTAGAGAATTGTTTTCAAAATTGCAGACCTTGTAATCGGACCAGATGAATCGGGAAAGATTCGTGTAGGAAACACAGTTCTACAAACAGCTTATGAGGCAGTGTTATTCACAGGACAGCTGAATGTTTCAAAAAACCTTTTTTTTTATTTCAGGGGACCTCCAAATTGTATTTCCGGTAAAATCTTGATTTCTATTTTAAGCAGCTTTTCATAAATTCCTCTATACTACGTACGTATACGAGAAAGTAAATGGAAAAACTTCATCTCAAATGCAATTAGCAACAATAATTGATGTTCGAGATTCGAGGGTCCGCCCTTTTTTTCAGTATTAATAAAACTTATAAGGCATTATAATAACACATAAAGTACCAACATAACACTAGTTTTATCAAGTTACTTCTTTTTGGTGACAGATTTGCAGTGTGTATATACCATTTATTCTCATCGGAAACGAGGCATGTAGACACCGCCCGAGAACTAGATTTGACCTAGATTTTTCCGCATGCATTTTACTTAACGCTGAGTGGTTGACAAACGCGTAATTCTTTTGTTCTTTGGATGTTACGTCAAAGAAGCTGTACTTTCACTCACGGGTCAAGGTCTTCGACGCGGTCGAAAAGGAGGCAGTTGAGCTTGTGCGGCCTTGAAACTTCCGCAAATCGGCGAAAGTCGAGTTTCTGAAGAACGCACTCGCCGTGAGCAAGCGAATTGGAAAGACTAAATTGCTCATCGAACCACATCGAAGTGTTGAACGCATTTGAAGAAATATTTCGTCATATCTTCTCGTCAATTGTACTTTTGTAGCCCCAAATTTTCATCTCGACGCTACTTCTGTAGACCTTCACAAATAGTTTCCAATGCATAATGACTTGTTAACGTCACTGCATTAAATAAAGTGTATCCTTGAAATCGCAGTAAATAGAAACACGAAAAGCCACAACAGGTGACGTTTGAATTGTGGTGAAAGAGAATGGTTTGTACTGTGGAGAAAACAATGTGAAGAGTATTATGTTCAATGTCATGTTCCTTACGGGCAAAAGAAATCCAAGTAATTTAACAAACATAAGTCAAAGAAATCTGTACACATGCTATTAATTTTTAATTTAGTCATGTTTCTGGAATTTTTCAATAAAAATAGAACTTCAAAACGTCTCTACGTAATTTATTTCCGGGAAAATGAATCTTGAAAATATGCTTAGGATTTGATTGCTATAACGAACTAATATTCTCGTGAGACCGA